GATCCGCCGTGCAACTTTCAAAATTAAAATGTACAATTTATATTTAAAGGATTTCTGATATGATTATAGTAATAAAAGTAAATCATACAATAGAATATATTTTCATGAATTTTTTTTCCGACGGATATTTTGAACAAATATATATAACTGATATTGTTTTACAAATGCATGTTTGTATTCTCACCTGAAGGCTTTTACTTCAGTCGAGTACTGTGTAAATACAATGTGTATTGTACTGTGACACTAAGTGACCACCTGTTGAATGCGTGGTTAAATTCAAGGTAATTAAAAGATTAGCATTCTGTAATTCTATTCTTTTGATCTTCACTCGGTGAATTTTAGCCAACACGGTTCACCGTTACAGGTGTGAACAACATTTCGTATGAATGATAAAAACATTAATTATTTGGGGAGGAATATGGTGGCAAAATACCTGAATCGCCGTTATATACATGTATATCTTTTATATTTTGCGTAAGCTTAATTTTAAAATAGATAGGTGAGTATTTTGTTGTAACATCGAAATTCTGAATTACTTTCAATTAAATAATTTTACAAATAAAAATGGCCCACGAAAACGAGCGTATAAACCAAACATTGTACTTACTTTTTCAAATGATCATGGGTATTAACCGTGAATATTTCAATGTTTAGAGAAAATTATCGCGGTTACATGATTAATATAGCTTGGTCCGTCCACAGCGATCTACATTTACCTAATCGGGAATGCCCTTATTAAAATATTTAAAATCTCACAACGTATACATACTTTAGCTATTTGACCAACGATGTTTAAAAAAAATAACAGAGTCAATCTAACGTCAACTTTCCTTTTTTGAATGGAGACAGACCGGAGGAATCAAATTTCAATGTGCTTTATATCTTGTACCTTTGCAAGACTTATCATTCATTCATAAACCCACTTTATACCAGAGACATATATGTCAGTCTTAACTGACAAGAATACACCTAAAGCGGACAAGCAGTATTTTCTTTAAGTTTCTGTGCTTTAATACCAAGAAAGAAAAAAATCCCGAAATTAATTTGATACTTTGATACTCAATATTTTTCCTGGAAAATATTCATATCCTCGTTTGGTCTGAAAATAAGATAAGAATTTGGTATACAGAACATGCAGAAGTGTGAATGTCATAAAACCTTGTTATATCAGAAACCATTATAAATGTGAACCTGTATACGTAAGACCTCATGGGACGTCACCTAACCACATACAGGTAATATACAAGTAGCTCTGTTATACCCGGAAATGTCAAGGTAAATCACTACCGATACAGAATGTACCAATGCAAAGAAAATTCTGATGATTGTGAAGCATGACCATTCATGATTTTAGAGGAGTCTTAGGTGGAAATTGCCGGTACGATTTAAATTCTGACTATATTTTTTTCTCTCAATTTAAATCACTGAACTTAAAAAAAAAAGAAACATACGCCCAAGATCAGAATTCTTCATGTAAATTCATAAATACAACGTTCTTATTTTGTAACTTTCGATATACTTCACCCCCAACCACCGCCCCCTCCCAACCTGGGAACAGTATATCTAACATAACAATGTTTGTGTACCTGCCCAAATAAAAAAAAAAAGATGAAAAAAGAAAGAGATGAACGGTAAGTCACATCAGATTCAAATATTTATATGGATGATTGTCGTTAACTAGAGATGTAAAGTTACATGTCTCTGCGTTAACTTATAAGAATGACAGGAAAGTATATACTTGAAATAGATTTATGATGAATAATATGCAACTGCAGCACCCCTTTTTATCAAAGTGTACATGCATGTATTTTAATGACTGTCCGTTATTTCGATTAAGAATGACAATTGTACGTGAAATTCTATAGTTGCCAGTGAGACTTTTTTTTCACCAGATATGCGACTTTTCGTATTTATATTTTCTCTTATATTACTCTCATTTAATATTTTATGCATAAGTGCAATATTAGGAATGGTTTATCCCCCATCCCTATTAAGCTAACTAAATAAATTAATCAACCTTCTAGCTGACCAGACGTTAACACATCTACTATCAGTCAATTCGGAGTGAAGTTTCTTTATTTCTTCAAATAAGCTTTTTGGGGATCATTAGTGTACGTCCAGTGGCATATATATTACATGCATGTCGGAACAGGAAAATTGACATGAGGTATAATAGAACCATGTTCACATTATTACATTATTATATATAATACCAGAGACATATAATACAAGTCTCTGATAATACACAACCATTGAGATGATGACGACTTTCTTAAACTGTTCAAAATAATCTTATGGAAATAAAAATCTGTGATTTAACTATGTGCATAACTTTGATGAACCAAAGCAAGTTAGATATACATAAATAAAATAAATATATAAATAAAATAAATAAAATAAATAAAATAAATAAAATAAATAAAATAAATAAAATAAATAAAATAAATAAAATAAATAAAATAAATAAATAAAATAAATAAATAAAATAAATAAATAATTATTTTATTATAGTGTCACATATTTGATCAAACAATATATATATACAACAATTCATAATAAAAACAGAGATCAAATATCCAGCCTTAGAATAGACATATGAGACACTTAGATATCGACCTGTATTTAAATCAGATTGGTTTTGGATGTTTCTTTCGTATATTCAATATACATGTATATATTCTAAATTGCGACTATCTATAGTTCCGTAACCTTCTATCTAGGCGTATAATCCAATGATCGACAAGTGCGTACATTTTGTTAAATCAATATTTGTACGTTTCAAAATGTCCATAATTATTGACAACGAGTAATTACTTATATTTTCCCCAATTTACGTTTGGAAAATATGTAAATATATTTTTATTTTATCAAATCTTTTTTGGAATTATTTAGATTTTCATAAATGTTCTTTACACCATAAATGTTATTTATAAACAAGCGTATGAGTTTAGTCATATATATAATGGCTATTATATCTATGGTTTAGTAAAGACTAGCATATCACTATCGGACACGCAAGACAAAGATGTATATTCACCTGATAGTTTCAAAATGGAAAGTTACAAGTTATCGGCCGTGTACACTTCTCAATACCCTCAGAGGTGAAGTGATGCACGAACTTGCTTTATGTAATTGTGTAATAAGAGTTTAAAAGCCCGACAGGAAATCGCTTGAATACCTGGACGTGTCAACTCACAATACCTCTGGGAACAATTCCTTTAGCAATGCTGGTGATCAGATAAGGGAAGGTCCGAATTTATTTAAATAAGATTATTACATAAATGAATTATGAACACACTAGATTTTCGAAAACATTTTTACACGGAACACTTAATTTATCACTTTGAACTTTTTAACTAATTTCCATTAACATTTCTTGTTTCAAAAACTTAGTAAAAAAAAACAGTTTCAAAACGACAGACCATAGTACTAGTTATTCAAAAAAAATTATATATAATTACATTTTCCGTATCAAGTTAGTTAGGAAAGGTTGCATGCACAACCATGTCTATTATAATCTTTTTTTGTGACCCGGGAAACTGTTTAGGCTTTCCTTGTCGGGTTAAACAACCGTACGCTTGACAAGATATCGACACTCAATTACGGCTACGTTAGGTTACTGCTTGTTTTGGTCCTTTGTGGTTTATAGATTTATCGTGGTTTCTATTCAGGGATGATGTCAAAATGGCCGCACGCGGAGAAGTGATACTCTAAATTTAAAATCGATGGTGATCTCTTATCTAGCAGAATTAAACTTTAATATTTATGAATTTGTGTTTTTTTTATACATAATCAACATAATATCAATTTTTCATTTTTTTGCGAAGTTTCCCTTTAATAGTCAATTTTTAACAATTTTTCTTTTACAAAAATCTTCTCTGAAACTACTGAGACAAATTTAACCATACTTAGCCATAATCATTATAAGGGTATCTAGTTTTAAAAATTTGTCCGATGACCCCGCCTTCCAACCATCATGGCCGACTTGGTTAAAAATAGACCATACGAGTAAAATCTGACAGGTGGCAAAAATGTTCATCAGATTTAGATTTATCTGCCCTGAATTTTTCAGATGAATCCGGGGGGACAACCCGTTGTTGGGTTGCTGTCCCCGAGTTAGTAATTTTACAAAAATTTTGCAGTTTTTTGTTATTATCTTAGATATCATTATAATATCTAATATCTAATACTATTAATTATGATTTTAACCGTATTTTACATGATTTCCAAAGCATCAGTAAATACAGGTGAGTGACACAGGCTCTTGAGAGCCTCTAGTTAGTTTGTCCTTCTGTTGTGCTGTTACACCACTGTCCCAGGTTATGGGGAGGGTTGAGTGCTCACAAACATGTATAACCCCACCACATTCTTTATGTGCCTGTCCCAAGTCAGGATCCTGTAGTTAAGTGGTTCTCGTTGCTTCATTACTATCATATTTGCTTTTTATAAATTGTTTTGTTAAGAATTAGGCTGTTAGTTTTCTCATTTGAATTGTTTCAATGGGTTTGTCTCATTGTTGAAGGGCTGTACGGTTGCATATAACTGATTAATCCACTTCATTTGAACTCTAGTGGATAGTTGTCTCATTGGCAATCACCACATTTCCTTTTTTTTTTTTTGTGTTTGTCCTTTTTCTTTTGGCCATGCTGCTGTCTAATCTTTCTTCTACTGACATTTTTTTATTGTCCCCTTAGTATCTTTTGTTTTTTACATGTCATATAAGTTGGTAGAGATATAATACAACTGATTCTATAGTTGCTTTTAAATTTGGATTATAAATTTCTCAGGTCAAGGTTGTTAGCTATTGGGTTTGTGTTGCTCAGTCTAGTTTTCTATGTAGTGTTTTGTAGAGTGTTTTTTTTTATCATTTTGTCATGGCGTTGTTGGGTTTTTTTTAACTTATGATTTTGTCATGGTGTTGTTGGGTTTTATTCTACTTATGATTTTTGATTGTCCCTTGGTATCTTCTGCCTCTTTTTTTAAACAAAGGAAACAAAAAGTACAGCACCATTAAAATTTTAATAATTTATACTTATATACACCTTAAAATGTTGACATATGAAGACACACCTTTAACAATCAAAACATTCAATGTTTTGTATCATTTGTTTAATCCAGGGAATTCAAAGAAAAGAAAAAAGAAAGGATATGGGGAATTAATTCATTCTCAAAATCATGACATGCACATGAAAAAAAACTTTTTCAGCAATACCTGAAGGGATTGGAGTTCATGCATACAGAGTCTTGTTATGAAAAGGAGGATATAAAAGGTTTCCAGTGTAAGAAAAGGTCACTTAATGTACAAAATGATAGAAAGGACAATTGACCTCCCTAAGTTGTTTTTCCTCTTTCCTTAGTTGAGACAATAAATAATTTAAACACATCCATGCTCATGTTGACTTAAGAAAGTTTTTTTATAAATTGCCCTTTTTTAAACCAGTCATACTAATTTGAAATGTTATGGAAAAAAGTTATGATAATTTAAACTAATGAGTCATTTCTTGTTGGTAAAAGTAAGCCTCTTTAATGCCAATATCAGAGAGAAAATGCAAAATATTGTATTTGTCATGATTTAATAGTTTAATGATACAATATTTCTGTTTTAATGAATGTATAATAGAATTGCCCTTATTTTTGTAATTTTTCAATGATAGATTATGGTCTTGCCATAATATTTGCCAGGTACATTTCACTCAAACATTTATAACAAATATCATGCATATACCACAAATTTCATTTATAATGCATTTCATATTTAATATCTATTTATTACGCAATGAAACATTCTCAAACTTTCACTAAAAATCTTTTGCTCAATCCTCTCACAACCTTACTTTAGTACAAATACATATATAACATGTTCAAACTAAGTCCTTTGGGGGAAAAGGAATATTGGTTTATGTACAGGAGACAACCTTTCTCAGAGACTAATTAGATACTGTGAATTTATCAGAAATAAATAGTATGTATTTACTAGAAGGTACTAGTAATCATATCTTTTCCTTCGTGGTACTAGATGTTGTAGAGTAGGAGAAGAAAACTAGATGAGCATTTTTAAACTTGCACTTAAATCTTTTGCTGAGCCCTTTCCCTAACCACAACCTTAATTTATAATAAATATACATAACAATCAAAAGACCATTAGTAAATAGGAATATTGGTTGATATTTAAAAGACAACCACCACTTTTGTAGATATTCAATTAAATGTCTATAACTTAAACTAAAACTCTTGATTTCCTACAAAAACAAACCTTTCAATTTTTTAGAATGATACCACTATAGTACTGGAATGTTAAATAAAAATAATGCTCTACCATTACAACAGAAAACAGTAGAAAAACAAAGGAAATAATAACCTTTAAACAGAACTGATTGGTAAATGGGAAACCAAAAATAAACTATGACATGTATGACACCATGCTGGAAATATTCAGAAATTCTTATACATCATAAAATGCAGATTAAATGCTTATGTTTTCAAAGAGGGGTTTATTTAAAAAATAAATTTGAAATGCACCCATGGTTACCATGCAGGGGAAAATTATTGGTGGCTATACCCAGTGACTAATGTAGAAATGATGAACATTCACAAAATTTAATATATATGTAAATGTATCAAGAGAAATTATTTTGAAGCAGGATTTCACTGAAAAATGTTATAATGCTGCTAAACCTCCATATTATATATACTAATCATGCTAACCATGAAAACATATTGCACCAACTTAAAACAATGTTAAAATGAACAATAAATCTTTACAGATTTGACATGACATGAATAAAAATCTAATGACACATACTAGTATTTCAGTTCAATTCAGGAATACATACCATGTGTTACACATGGCAATTTTATCAAATAATTTCACTGAATATGAGTTTCTTGAATTTATCTCAAAATTGTAGGTGTAACTTAAAGTGAATATATTCTTACCACCAATATAAATTCATCAATTGTATGAATTCTTGCTACCAAGGTAACTTTATTATTCCAATATTATGCCTCAAAAACCAACATAAAACTGGGAAATAATTTACAGATAACAGATTACCAAAATAAATAAAACCATAAACTTCATCTACCTTGTAAATTTTTTGCACATTTAATTAGGGTTCCGTTTTAAAAAAAAACATGTCATATATTATTTACAAATGTTTGAAAATATATGGCAAATTATGTGAATGCCAGATATTACAGTGTATTCGGTATTAGAACTATCACTAACAAACAGTATCTTTTCCAGCAACATTTTCCAGTTACCTTTTAACCAATAATAAAAACATCACAGCGTTATTTCAATAAATTATTTCTTAAGAAATCCTTGCATTGGAGGAGGACCAAAATGATGGCTGGGTGGTGGAGGTGCAGACATTCGTCTATCATCATGAGACTGAGGCAGTCCAGCTGACATAAGAGGAACACTAGTAGTATGTCCCATAGGGGGCACTGCTTGTGTGAATTGAGGAGGTGGTCCAACACCACTCTGTGGTTTATTGTATAAAGGAAGCTGTGGAGGTCCTGAGGGAAAACTGTTCTTAGATGAATCTGGTCCAGGCATTTGTGGCATCATTCCTAAAGGTCCATATATTTCTCTTAACACTAATAAAACTGTGTCTTCTGACTCCCTATAGAAAATAAGATAAATAGTCAAATTAGCTAATGGTTAAACAATATTTTAGAATTGTAAAGAAAATCAAACAAAAGAAAAACTGCATTGCTGTTTTATTTCAGATTTAAGAATAATTTTTACTTAATTACCTGTTTACAAAACTTTTAATATTTGAAATACTAAGAATTTTCTATCCCAGGAATAGATTATCTGAGCTGTATTTGGCAAAACCCTTTTTTTTTTATTTTGGGTCCTCAATGCTAAGTACTTTATTTGGTCTTTTTAACATTTTTATTTCAAGCATCACTGATCGATCATGCATGATGAGCCTATTGTAGACGAAATGCACGTCTGGTGTACAAAATTGTAAGCCTCGTATCTATGATGAGTTTATGTTAGCAATCTACTTCAGATTTGAAAATCAAACTAACTCTGACATGTATGGTAATAAATAAGTTTCCAAATCATTTTTTGACAACTGGCAAAGTTTACTGTTCATTTCCTGGATTTAAATGGATAAAGTAATACAATCTTACCAGTAACATCCATGACTAGTTAATGCAAATATATAATCATTAAAGCTTTCTATAGGTCGTTCCTGTAAGACATAGTCTATCCTACGACCTTCGTTTAACTGTCCTACTACCATGTCATCTTCATAGTTTGACACTTGAGCTGAAAAAAATCGTCATTAAAAGAGTATAAGTATAAAGATTAATTTGAAATGTTTAGCTTTTATAACATCTGGCAATGCCATTATGTGTAATTACCAATAATTCAGTTTGTCTTTAGGATGCATATATCAACACATCCCTTACAAATAAATCTGATGACCTGTGTGCTAACCATCTCAACTTTTTTTAACTAAGTTACAACTTCTGTGTGTTCTGTTTTTTGCCAAACAATGGTAAAAAAAAACCACAAAAAAACCACTTCAAGCATACTTACAAACAATGTAAAGCTTAGGAACAGACCTGAGACACTTGAAGCTAAGACTTTTAGCACACAAAATAAACAGGATTGAGATCATGTGTTTCACAAGCACCAACATGTTTCTCTTCATGTTTCCTTGATAGAGAGTTGCTGTTTACAAGGAAGCTATTGCACCAAAGGTTCTTAATGGTAAAGTTGAAGTCATCTCTTTGGGAGTGTTACTGACGCCATCATAAATTGGTTGACTATTATGAAATATCTATCACAGACCACAGATATGATTTACTGTCCTTCTTTCTTTAATTGGGACATCACTGAATACAACTTAGCCCCAAGCTTACCTTTTGAGGACCTTAGTACGTTCCTCCTTTTTTTGGTAAGGTTTGTGTTGCTCATTCTTTAGTTTTCTGTGGAGTGTTTTGTAGACTTTTTTTTTTTTTAGGTAGCACTCCACAGTTAAGTGTGAAGTTTCACATTTTGGCCCCGGTGGATTTTTCAAATATGGAAGCTAGTGTGTAATAAAATATTTATGGATAGCTGAAGATTAATATTGCCTTCAAAGTGGGTTTCTATGAACATCAAGATTGTGTGATATATATTTTCGGCAGTTTTCTGTAAGATGGTCCTGTTTTCATATCCATACCAGACATTGGTCCAAAATTATTGTAATCTTTGTGATTCAATTTTATGAAAAAATGAGATGAAAGTCACCCAATTTTTATTTGATAGATTAGGTCACAATGTATACATTTAGAAATATAAAATGATTATAAATTTTTAATTTTTTGAAGTTATATTCAAAAGAGTACTTTTCCCATTTTTAAAAAAATTTAGAACAATCATTGAATGGATGATCAACAATTCATACTAAAAAACTATCAAAGTTGATAACACTTACAAGCTGTATCAGATTTGTCATCGTCTAAGTCATGCATGACAGAAGACATCTGAGAATCTACTTGTTCTTCTAATGATAACTGAGAAGATTTGTGTGCTTTGGCAAATTCATTTATAGAGTTCCATGTACTCTTCAATGATTCCATTATCTTATGTTTTATGTCTGCTCCTACTCGCGTTAAACTTTCTTTCAGTTCTGAAATATATATATAAACCAGTATGTCACTATTAAAAACTTCCAAAAAGAAATGTGTAACAGTGGAATATGGTAAAATATTTCAAGTTATATTCAAGAAATATGCCTGTCTTATTATATTTCTTTTGGAATTGAAATTGAATATGAGAGTTCAGTGCAGAAAAGTTTCTGTAATAGAGGATCTACTATGTATCATTGTTTTCTATAAGTAAATTAGGGCCGGAAATTACCAGATAACTAACAAAATTTCTAAATCCTTTTCTTAATCTTGTTTAATAATATTTTATACCTTTTACTTAAATTTACCACTACAAATTGTTTATATGTCATGATCTCTAGCATTACCTATTTGTCACACTCATATTATTAACTGCTCTTACCTAAATGAAGTCTTTTTCTGCCTTTATGATGTGGAATTAACACAGGTTTAACACCGGAAGTAAATGCATTGACTAGAGGTTCCAATCTATAGGCCTACAATTTATAAAAAGGTGTGTAAAAGGGAAATAACTCTACTAAATCAGTACAGCCTTTCAAGTTCAATTATTGGTTCACGTACCAGTAAAAGATTTGTTCAGTCTTTTAAAGTTTTCTTACAATGTTCATGTGAGTGGCAACAAATTCAATTTTTTTTAAAAATACAACAAATTATTATCACTAGTTTGACTGTAAAAGGTATCTATTGTGGCAAATCCTAAGTTTGCTTCTAGAATTTATGTTATAGCTCTGACATCTCATAAATCGTAAGGTCTGCACATATAGTGAAAAGTGTTATATTTAGAGAAAGCATTGTCATTTAGTAGATATATTGACTCTTCATGATCAAACAGATATGGCTATTTTCAGCAGGAAATATGTTTCTTAAATATAAATATAAAAAAAATTCAATTAAAAATTTAGCAATTCTTGTTCATTACAAAAATAAAAATCAATCTTTTTTTTATACTCACAACAGGATCAAACTGAAATAAAATAAAACAAAACGTCAGTGGATGGTTTTCTAAGATTACCTTTCACAAACATTCATAAACAATTCCCATTTGGTCCTAAATTAACTTCAATCTACAGTTTTCCACCTTAAAATAGTTTTTAAGCAAACTTTAGGACAAACAAAATTTCAAAATCAATGAAACCATTTTAAAGTGTAGAATTATAATCTGTCAATTCTTTTCCATGAACAAAATTATGACATCTTTTTAAACTGCTACAAACAATATAAATATCAAAATGTTTTGTCAGAAATTTATTCATGATACTATAATGACCTCATTATGTTACCTTACTTATATTTCATTTCACTTACTGGATGAAATACATTGAATACTCTTGGACAGGTTGGTAGTTTGAAATCTTCCCCGATGTTCTGTACTCCTCTGGCTGATAGAAATATACCAATAGGTGAACCAAAAGCAAACAGTGAATTTGGCTGGAAGTCTAACTGAGGATATTTAACAGATGGTTGACCAGTACCTGCAGATCCCAATAAATAATCTACAGTCATACTGGACGATCTGTGAGGATTACTGTAAAATAAAATAACATCTCACTAAAGAAATTTATCAAAATGAATAATCTACAACTATACTGGATAAACTTTTCCCAACTGGTTGATTACTTTTTTTATAATCTTTGTGTGTTTCATATGATCTTAGTTCTTCATTGATCAAATTCAATTATGACATCAAATTTTCTAGCTTTTCTCAAAATTTGATGCCTGATAATGCCACATAAAAAGAAAACATCTTTTTGCAAATCATTTAAAAAGATTGACAGATACATGGTTGACATCCAGACGATTTTGTCGACTTTCACTAAAATCTCTATTTTTAGCCTGTTTTTGGTGTAAATATCATTGCTTCATATGAAAAGCTAAAAATAAATAATTCTATTTCACTTTCTTAAATGTCTATTCATTATCTTGAAACAATGGACTTAACATTCAGGGCCAAATACGGTACTCTTTTGGCATGCCTGACCATTTAACTTTGAAAATGTGTCCAGTGGAGAAATATTGTATCATACTTGATGCAGTGGTGGTTCTTATATCCATCAGTGTCTTTTTGATATAAATAATTCTTATGTAATACATGTACTCTCTTTTTAAACAAAACTATGTTTGACATGGCTCCCTTTCTCATCCTTGCATTTTTAAAGTCAGCACTTTTTTGTTTACTATTTTTTTTTTTTCAATCCCATATCTTTTCTCCCCCATTACTTCCCTACCTTTCCAAAGCAGATATTATGTTTAATATTTAGTAGCAGGTTATAAATTTAAAAATAAGTAGATATGTTATGATGACCAATGAGACAACTATCCACCAAGACCAAAGGAAAAGGATGTAAACAACTAAGTGTCAACAATGAGCAAAACCCATACTGTATAGTAAGTCTTAAAAGGCACTTGTATAACAAATGTCAATCAATTCAAAAGAATAAAATAACATTGTTCATTGTTAGAAGGCTGTACATTTTACATCCTTGTCTAATGGTCTCTGTTGGATAGTTGTCTTATTTGTACCACATAAATAATAATGAATCCATAGCATATCCATTCTTCAGTTAATGCATATTTTTCTGAGTCAGATATTATTACCTTTGTTGACTAGCTTCTTGTTGTTTATGCATTTCCTGTTCTATCTGTTGTCTAATTCTCCTTTCTTCTTCTGATTTCTTCTTTTTATCTGCTGATTGTTTCTTGTTTATCTAGTATAACATATAAATAATAATAAAACAATGAGAACATTTTTTACCACAAAAAACCCTCATAGAGTCATACTAAAATTTTTTATAACATGCTTCTTTCACCCTTTTCTTTTTTAACTCAACCTTATTTTACATATCAATTTCAAATATTATTCCATCTCTATTTCTTTAAATGTACCTATGATATTAGATGAAAAATTTTGTAGTAAAAGAAATTAATTTTGTATTTTTCTACATATATCTCTTGAAGATTTTTGTTCTGTATTAGGTGTATAGTACAAAAGAAATGACTGCTATAGCTGACATTTATATTGTCTACATGGAATTATAAAAGATTTTTTTATGTATGAACATTATCAAGTGTATAACTTCCATTTCATATGAGAACTGTAATGTAATGTGAACAGTATAGTAGTGTATTTGTGCATCCTTAGTAATTTAGCTCATCATAATGCAAACATTAGAGGTGAGGTATTAAATCAATAGCCATCAATTAACCAATGAACCATTACAAATTAAGCATTATTAGAATAAGTAAGGTGACTGTATTATCAGGGGGTTTACAATGGAAAATTTGATGAATTACTATAACTGTCACTGAAATTACACCAAAAGAGGAGCTATGGTAAGAACTATAATTTGGTATAGGAAACTGCAAATCCTTTAAAAATGTGTTTTTTTTTATGATATAGTCTTATATTTATATTAAATATGAGTAACAGCCTAACCCAAAAAGAATGTTCCTACTTATAAACATATTTGTATAAGATATCGAGAAGCAACATATCTTTTTAGGTATATACATATGGCAAAGTAAATATTAATTTCAGATCTCAAAATGAAACTATTTTGGCATGATTTCCTTCAATGTAAGAAATTATAAGGAACAAAACAAACGTTAGACTATATAACAGAATACAAATATACTATAGACTTATGTCTTCTTTTGTCATACTTTGTTATTTTCAAATTTCATGTACAAAAAAAGTACCCCATTCTTTGTAGCCAATGATTTTTAGTAGGTATCAAATCATATAGATTAATGCATTTTGAGAACCTTATAATATTGAAGACTTGTTAAAGTAACAGAAACAGTATAAAAGCTGCAGTTACATATCTATACATATGTATATCCATCCATGTATTTGTGTTAATGTGTACAAGATTGTAATTACTGTGTCAAAATGTATACTTTTAGATGATATTTTGATCAAGAATTATATATTTTATATCTGTTACAAACTAACCATTCTTGACTTCTGAAAGTTTTTTGAAATATTGATTAAATTTTTCATTATTATCCATAAAAATAACAAAAAGTATTGATATCTTGATAAGGGACTTTGAATTTTCCTTGGAGTTCGGTATTTTTGTTATTTTACTTTTTACTATGGATTAAAATTTCAGGTCAAATTTCATCTAAATAATCATATACTTGAATCATTTCATCTAAAAAAATATTAAAAAAGATTATATATATTTTACTGTTTAGGAATATTATTGCACTGTTACATTACAATTGTGGCATTAATGAAAATTAGAGATATGGTATCTGTTATCTTTTTAAAAGTTTTGCAACACAATAAAATTTCGCTCAACCCAGTGCTAGGGGTCGTCTTTTGCTTTTTGTGTTTTTTGCTGTGCATATACTGATTTTGTGTCATGAATGGATACCCCATATCCTTTCTTTTCTATTATGGCATGACCGTTGATTAATTATACATTCAATATTTTAACATCATTAACACAATAACCGTATAGTATTTCTTACTAGAGAAATTGGATATTTATAGTCAATATATAGAACTTGTGATGTACCTTTTTCTGTTGTTCTTCCTTGAGAATACCCTGAAGTTTCTTCCTTGGCCCCATAGGTAAACCCAGATCTTTAAGATCACTTTCACTACACATCGTCTGTAATAACACATGTTAAAAACAATTACAACTATTTCTGTAACAAATCATGCAATATGTATTATGAGTTTTTATATGACTTCATACTAATAATCTAAAACATCTTTAATATGAGAGTTATACCATTTTTACCTCAATGTTGAATATTTGGTTACAGGGCCTAATCTAGGATTTTGAAGAGGGAGAAGTGACTTCTCCTTCCAAGAGAGAAAAGGGAGAAGTGAGATTCCATTATCGTTTCGGTTGCATCGTGTTTTCATGCTTATCACTAAGGAAATTGTTTTATATTCAATAAAAGATATACTTGCAGTTTTTTCATATGTTATTGTACACAATGTATATATAGAAAGTTCTTAATAAAAAGGTTTAGACAATATATAGTTGTTATTTATTTATTGATACCATTGTGTTCTAAATAAAATTTGTTGATTGGGACATGAGGGAGTAGCCTAGTAATATTATCATGATTATGATGCATTAAATGCATGTGCATCTGCCTCAATTTATCTTTAAAAGTCCAGAAAAAATATAACTCCCAGTTTTCCTGTTGAATTTCACATGACTGGGAATTTAATTTATATCACCACTTGTCATTATTTTGTAAAACATTATTGAATGTCCAGGACATTATGTTAGTTGTAAATTGAGATTTTCGTTAAAGATTGTAAGTCTATAAATGAAAATATTTTTCAATCGCATATTAATTATCTGACAAAGAGCTAATTTCTATCATTTTTTTAAAAACATCATCCATATCAACGAAATGGTCGTGAGAAACAATCCACTGCTGATCACAACCTGGTCGAGTGTCGTACGTTTGCCATCACATTATCCATCAGCAGTCTTTCTACCTTTTATATTTCAATTTTTATTCAATCAATATAATAAATCTACCGTTAATTCCAACCTTTTACCTACCGAATAGTAAAATTGATCGACTCGTGTAAGTTGTAAAAATAAAACAAATCAGCTGAGTGATTACGCAACATCCTCAGATGAAAATTATCGTAAAATGATAACTTAAACAGACGGTCAGTTTTCCGTTTGAACAGTTTTGAAAGTTATATCCGAGGATGTTCAAAGTCGCCGTTGTATTTTTTTTAATTTGATCGTTGACAGTATTAGTTCTGGGTCGTTTCGAAACTCGATTTTCCTTGTCAGCCGCCATTTTTTTTTTTACCTGTGAGACTTGTCAATCACAAGTTGTCTCCCTTTTACCGATTTTGATAGCGATTTGACTTCGCTATGAAGTCAGTCGGCTGGCGAGATTTAGCGATTTTCAAAATTCTTTGGCGACTTAAATCATCATTTCGCCGGCAAGATTATGGCCTGTTTGGTTACCTTTCAAGCAAAACAGTTTTTAAGTGGAGAAGAGTTAGCAATTTCAAATTTAACGGTATGTATATTAATTCATCGATGAAGATTATAAGGTTTGTAATGGTTGGGTGAAATTCACTTTTTCTACAGATCAGTACTGGGAAATAGAACAAAACATGTTTTTTTATAAGTGTAGAAGATATCCAAGCGCAAAATACAAAATAAATCTTACAAGAGTGAAAGATCTTCCATTTTTCAATTTGGACAATTATAACTACCTAATTCTTAAAAACAAACTTCTATATATTCCATTCTCATACAAAGAGGAGCTGATGTAAAAGAAAATTGCCAAGAGCCATGCAATACAGAAATCAGAAAAACTTGACTGAATAAAGCTCCAACTTAAAAACATTGGAAAAATGTGACAGAACACGAGAGGGGAATAAAATTTAGTTACATTCAAAATTATAATTGCTTAATATATATCATCATTCCAGGGGAAACCATTTGAATACGGACAACTCTTTCATATTATAAAAGTACAACTATTGCATATTATAATTAAGTACATGGTATCAGGGTCAGTGAAAACAAGTATGAATAAACTTGCACAGTTCCTTTACCCAATTTGGATCTTTTTTTTTGGGTAATAACTTTTTTAAACTGATTGTTTCTGCTAATATTATCATGACTGGACCAAATAAATGAATAATCATAAATCTCCCTTTGAAAATGAACAATAACAAATAAATTTTATCTTAGTTTATTGAATGAAAAAGTAACAAAAAACACTTATTGAAGGCATTTAAATAATAACTTTAAAGAATTTATGATGCTGATTTTGGTTTCAACTGTGGTGTCCACTATTGAATAGAAGTTTCATTTGTTTTTTCTTCTATCTTTCACCTTTTATGATAGATTCTTTTTTATCTATGATCATGTGATTGCAAGAAAATGAGAGATTATCATGTGACTTACTAGAGCTTCCATGTCAATCTGTTCATCTTTAAACACCTGTACTTTCTCTTTGAGCCCAACTTTAGCCAGGAGATCTTCTAACGTCATCTCTGATTCTTCTTCAGTGTCTTCTTCTACCTATAGAAGAACTATTCTATTTCATTTTTTATCATTAACAAACTGTATGTAATAAATTTTTTTTTTTTATCTTGAAGCCAAGAAAATTCTCTTGTAATATCTTGAACATGATCAAGTTTATCTGAGCTATTTAATTCAAACTTTTACACAGAAAGTTAGACCAAACTCAATCTTGTTTGATCAATATTTGCAACACATAAACTTATAATCAAGTCACTTTAAGATTTAAATGATATTAAAATAAACCCCACCACATTCTGTATGTGCCTGTCCCAAGTCAAGAGCCTGTAATTCAGTAGTTGTCGTTTGTTGCTGTATATCATATTTGTTTTTCTTTCATTGTTTTGTACATATATCAAGCCGTTGGTTTTCTTGTGTGAACTGTTTTACATTTGTCATTTTGAGGTCTATTATAGCTGACTATGCGGTATGGGTTTTGCTCATTGTTGAAGGCCATTTGGTGACCTATAGTTGTTAACTTATATGTCATTTGGTGTGTGGTGGAGAGTTGTCTCATAGGCAATCATACCACATCTTCTTATTTCTGTAATGAGTATAATATAATTCACCTCTCCATTCAATGTCTCTACAGGTTGTATGACTTCTGGTTGTGTTGGAGGGGCATACTGATCCTGTGTGTGAGTTTCTTCTATATCTTCATCCTTCTGGTGAAGAAGTAGGTCAAATAATACACAACAGCCTAAAAAAAGTTACAAGGTGATAGCAAACATATATCAAACCTCCACTTATAAATGAAAAGAAATAACATAATAATACAAGATATATCCATGAAAATAAAATCTTTCACTTACTTTAGCTTACATTAATGATGCAGTGACAGTGCACCAGATATCAAAATGCTTTTCATTCGAAGTCTCTTACTATTTTATGATTGATTGTTGGCTGTTTAACATCTAGTGGCAAATATTACACATATATTCAGGACTTAAAACAAACAAATGAGGTATGAATGTTCTTTGCTATGTACCAGACTGATGTGCTGTCAGATTTATAATGTGCAAGTTCACATTACATATCACACTACTAAACACATTATTCTGACAACTCACTAATCCAATCTTTGTTCTTTTAACCCTGATACCACAAGCTTGACTGAAAAGCAAAAAATACTAATTAAAATGTCCTTGGTTAGACCCAGCTAGGGAATGAACCCTTTACATCCCCACTTAAGACAAGAAAGCTATCACAAGACAACAAAGGTGGTTAATAATTACAATATTTTTATGAACAATGTCTGAAATGCATTATATATACAGGTTTCCTCAATCATTTATAACTAGCTGAGCTCCATTTAATTGAAATGCAATGACCTTGAAAGCTAATATTTACGTTCTGCTATAACCTGCATAATCTATGTCCTGCAAGGAGATTATTGCTCAACTAAAACCTACCTAAACTATGCCCTGCCACAGACACTGCTCCTTGAAAGCTGGGATTTCTATTACAAAACAGCTGATACAATCTGTTCATCTCAGTACCAACTGTGTCTGCTATACACTACATAAAGAGCAAAATAGGTATTCAATTGCAGAACTTCCATTCATATATATTTCATTATCAATTATCTAAACCACAAAATATATTTGGTGGCCTTCGGCTGTTGTCTGCTCTTTGGTCGGGTTGTTGTCTCTTTGACATATTCCCCATTTCCATTCTCAATTTTATTGACATGAGTTATTATAAAAGAGGTTTTTTTTCTTTTTTAACATTAGTTAAGACTACATGGAGTAATATCATTATCATTCTTATTAAATCAAGCTCAAACAGATCCCAGCCATTAGACAACTTAAATTTAAATAGTTATGATTAAAATTACTTTTTTTTTTAAATATAGTAAATCTTAAACTTTGATTAAATGAAATACCTGTGCATAAACTGGACTGGTATAAAACAGAATGTCCATCAAAGTATCATTTACAAAGTTACGAAGTTTCTGAGTACTTGGTAAAGTTATAGCTTTCAGCCGCCTGTAAAAACATTTTAAAATTCAGATAAATATGGAGGGTAACTATGACAATTCATACATATAGTCTTATGCAAGGTGTTGAAAATACATATATTTTACCATTGATGGAATATTAAAACTTACGACAACATTCAGATTTCTTTAATTTCATCCATGTTTAAAAACAGAGGTAAAAGGTTTACCTCACAGGCAACTAACGTGTTTCTTATACATTTGTACTTTGTAATACATTCAGTTAAAATGTCAAAAGTAAACCCTCAAAAAATTTAGCATCTTCTTTTTATACAAAATTAACTAAATGTGTAACTGTGACCCAAATACCCCAGGTTGCATCAAATAAGATTTTTAATGGTAGATATCTTTCGTGACATTTTAAATCTCAGGATGACAACTTTGTCATAAGGAAATCTTTATCATTCAACTGCACACATAAATTCAGCTATAAATCTATTGGAGCCACAAAAAAGGTACAGGAAAATCAGCTACAAGTGCTAACCACCTTTATAAATAGTAGGAAAATAGGAACATATTGAAAAACTTGATTTTCAAATGATCATTATACAATAAACATACTGATCTACTCCAGTGGCATCTCCATGTAACACAGAATGCCAAAGAACAGGGAGAAATTCTACTCGGCCAATTCTGTTCTCATCCTTATACTTCCTAAAATGGCTCTTCTGTAATTCTAGTGATATTGAACGGAAGTCATCAACTGTAATGAAATGAAAATATAACAGTTGAGTAAATTTGATCGTATAACCAATTCAATTCAATAGCCTGCCAGTAATGCCAAATAAAAAAAAAATCTAGATTAAGTACTATGACCTTTGAAATGAGGTTCCGACGTCGCCTGTGGTCGCCTGTGGTTGAGATAGGGGCAAATCTTTTTAGTGTTTTCAATTGGTAGTTATGGTTCTTACATCAGTGAAATAAAAAAAATGGTGGATTCTGGCACTGTAAATTTGAAGAAAACAAACAAAATATATTAATATTTGTGGATAAATAATTCAGTGATACGGTTTTCAATGTAAAAGGGAAAGGAGTGGAACACGACGAATACACCTCCTATTGAGAAATCTCAGTTGCAAAAGGGGTTCCGATTTTCATTTTGACTTCAATACTGAACATATATTTTTTGTAATGATAATTTAGATAGTTAAAAAACATTAAAATGACCGTTGTTAAAAGTTGAAATAAAGATTTCATTTAAAAAATAGGTGAACAATGACCGCTGATTTGAGTTAAATTATGTAGAGAAAATCCTTGGGAGGGTCTGAAAGTGACTGTAAGAGGCAGGTGAATGCTGAAAAGACGTGACCATTAAAACAGGTTTGACTGTACTGCTTGAAATAATGACTCACTTATATCCCTATAGCTTACAATTTTCTGACAAATGATAGATTAACATGAGACCTACCACATTCCACAATATTTCTAAATTTAACATCACAGAATTTTCCTATACCATGCACAACAAATACCACATGGTCAACTTGAGATGGTTCTCCTGAAAAATAAAGGTTTCATAACAGCAAAAATATCTGAAATATATGTTACTTATCTCCGTCTTAACACAGAATTTTGTTTTACTCACATGCTATGGTCATTTGTTTAAAAGTTTCCTGTTTGTGGGTTCTTGAAATCCCCAACTTGTCTCAGAATAATGGAATATACTTCATCTTATAAAAACTAAGTGATTTAAAAGCCATCCAAATAATTTCCAAATTAATTTAATTGAATTTTTGTTGGTTTTACTCTTTTGTTCTATTTTACCAGTAGTTGCCATATTGGTATGCCAACAGGGTCATCAGACTTAAAGGTTTCCAGTAGACCTATAAGCTAGATGATGCAGGCAAAGTTTAGTGCAAGATTTTTTAAAAAGTGTGCGCCAGACAATACACAATAGTCGACAGATGCTGCAAAGGGATGGCAAAAGCTAACACTAGAAAGAGCCAGTTGAGCAAAAAATGTGTTTCTTTTATCACCTGATTATTGTATTTATACAAAACGACTAACAAAAAATAAATTCCATACCATCTTCAATTGTTGCAAAATCTTCTACACCCCTTTTTACTACTCTTGGTCTCATTCCTTCTCCCTACAGAGAAAATTACAGAAATCTTAAACTTGTGACCAGAATGCATCTTTTTCTTCATTACTTTTTTTTTATGTTTTTAAATAAATTCAGTACATATGCATGTGTCTGTCTCTAGTCAGAAACTTTGTCAGTAGTTGTCATGTGTAATATCTTAGTTACTTTGGTTGTTTTGAGAATTGGGTGTTGATGGCACAAATTTGATTGTTTCAGTTTATTTATTCATATATATCTTTAATATTAATTTCACAGTGCAGTACACAAAATCAGATAGTTTTGGCTATGTTTTTATAACTGTGAAAAATATGAAAAGGTGAGTTTGGATTATCTAAAATTTTCATTTTAAATTCTAATAGTAATACATGTATTTGTATACAATAATTTCTGATACACATAAATCAATCTTTCATATTTGTCCATTGTTCAAAGATAACATCTTTTATACAGTCAATATTTTATGAATGTACAAACTTTTTTTTGTATATATATATTGATTTCCACTCTTTTTGTAATTCTAATAGAATAACATTTTGTCATCATTGTGAAAACATGGTATATGTATTATTATAACAAAACTGTGTATGCAACAATATGATATAATTAAAATTGGAAAATATCTTAAAACCCTGTTTAACTTGCAATCATGTGACAATTAGAATTTTTAAATTATTGTTATGTGCTTCAGTTTAAAAATCACTTTTGACAGGAAACTTGTAACTAATCATAATTTATCAGTCAGGTGTGAAAATAACCCTGAAAGTTCTTTTGTAGTGATTTTTTTATTAACTTTTGCAAGAACCAACATATGTTTTCTGTATGCAATACTGTCACATCTATTCATGCTATTTTAAAAGAATCTTTAGTACACATATTTGTATTGACTCATTCAAAAGGAGTTAAAACATGCACAGTTTGGTAAATTTCATATAAAAGAAAGAAAAAAACTACAAACAATAAAGTTAAAAAGATAGTCAGATTTTAAATATAGGAAGCAATTGAAGAACAAAATATTCATAGTCTTTAAAATCAATGTTTTTTTTTTAATCAAAATTTAAAATATCAAAATGATAAAGAGACTTAAATTGTAATTCTACATCAAAACATTGTGTAAATAAGGACCGTTCCAGATATAAAACCTGTGGGTTGCTCTTTTTTTTTTACCCCAACCACCAATAATATAAAATTGTCTTTTTACTTATAATTCTTACAAAATTCCAAGGAAAATGAAACCACCTACAATTAACTAATTTGAGTGCCTCCCATCCCCTCATCACAATCAACCCTATCCATATCCAAGATACACACTGGCAGTTTAAAGTGCATAAATCTAAAGTTGTTATGCAAACAAAATAATGTTAATACAAGTACCACCATGCTTCATATATATAACTTGTTATATTTTGTCTATATTAAACACATTCCTTTGACAAGCACATTTATTAAAAAGCTGTTTTATACTGAAAGTACGTATATTTTCACACAATTCACTATTGGACATTTTTTCTAGGGGTTTCTAATGCTGAACAGCATGTTATCACAATGTAACCATGGGCAATGATAAGTTAAAGACATCATCTCATTAAAAGAAACTTTCGTGATAATAATGAAAAGGTCTATAATATCATTTTTACTGCTATTTATTACATATTTCACATCTTAAAAACTAACCAATGACACAAAAAATATCATTTTTTTTTCTTAGCTTTATCAATATTTACTAATCAACCCTTAAAGCTTAGTCACAAAATGTTCTTTTCTTTTCAAGGGTAATTTAAGCTATGGGAAAGAGAAATGATATCATTCTGGTCCTACTTGAAGATCAAAAGGTCAAGTTTTTTTATAATGTGTTTCACTATTATTCAATGGACACCAATTTTCATGGACTTCAAGGTTAAAGGTGAACCACAAATTTAAATGATCAACAAAGTACAATTTTTCCATCTGGTTATATGCAGACTTTTATAAAACCAATTGAAATCAAATATCCAAGAAACACCATTTTCCCTCAATTCACAAAAATTGATACCAACGATAATAAATTAATCTACAGTAAGTTGTAAACAGGGATATCAGAAAATATGATCTATATTTAATTCTAAATGTAGGCTTAAAACAAACAACTTACAACATGTACTAAACAGATGATAACATTTCAATTTTTTTATATTAATACAAAATATGGTTTCAGGAACATGAAGTTGTTTTGTTTTTATCCCATTAATATATCTAAAATAATAAGTAAAGAATATATCTCACATAACTAATACTGACACTGAAAACAAAGGAAGAAACTATAACAAGCACATGGGAATAAAATAAATGTGACTCACCACCATAGGAGACATGCCCTGAATCAGAGAAAAATGGAAGATTTATACATATCAGATTTACCCATTAGTTACAACACATTCTCAATACATAAAGAAATATGGATTTGACATCAGTCGGAGGAATAAGTAATGATTTCAGCTTCAAATTCTTCATTTCATAGATTTTTATTTTTATCAACCATTTTTCTCCACAATAAATATTGAAGCCAAAATACTTGGTGCAATACATTCAGTTTCTAATTAATTATCAATAACTTTGTGTTGGTTTAAATTTATATATTTCCTACTAGGCTACTAATATTAAATGATGCTAAATGCCAAGAAGTCAGTATCAATGTTTGTTTTTGGTTAAAGCAATTTCTTAACATGCTAATACATTAACATGATGACCTTTGAAGATTATCAAAACACAGACTTCATTTGGTTTATACCACTACTATTTCTATGTTAATACATGAATAAGTTTCATATGTTACAATATTGTATTTTTAAATGTTCTACGTAATATTTCAACAAGTAAGCTAGTAAATAAGTTATAAACTATAATAACACATTTATAGTAGTTGATCTAAACTAACCTGGACCATTCCCCACTCATCTGGCTGTGAAGACGCTGTGAAATGAACAATCACATTGGCATTATGCATCACTATTGTCTCACCACCAGGGAACTCCAGCCTTTTATGCCATGTATTATTTAACACTGCATTTCTGTATTCATTCTGAAAAATATTTGTATTCGTATGTAACAATTATTGTTGTCAGCTGATGGGTCATGTCAATGGTTGACAGAAAACTACTTCTTCTTCTTTATAATGCATTGGCATAAGACATTTGACTAAAAGTCAGAAACCATTTAAAAATATAATATCAATTTAATATAATTAAATCATGCAACATCACAGACCACAGAAGTGATCCCTATAAATTGCTAGCTACAGTTGGATGCTGTCAGTGGACAAAATAACATGCATTGTCTTTAACATAACATCCATTTGTGTGAAGATTAGTAATACAGGTTCTTTATATAACTAAGCTTTCAAATCAGTGCCTTAGTTTTATATATTGGTACTATTATGCATATTTTACAAATTATGCAGAAAATGAGATGATAAATCTTTCTATAACAAAGTGTTTGCTCATTGTTGAAGACCGTAGGTTAACCTATTAGTGTTTTGGTAGATAGTTGTCAGCTTGGCAATCATAGTTTGTACCACATCTCCTTATTTGTATATTTACCTCAATCTGCTGGGCAAACTGTTCTTCATAAGGCACATATCTACTGTCAGATTCTCTCTTAAAGAACCAGGTACACCTGCGTACAGAGGATGGCATATCATCCCAATAAACAGCTTTCTTTGTCCTCTGTGATATATTGACATCATATCTTCCCCCATCAGTTGGTATATCTATTGTGTCATTACCTAGAAATACAAAAGTAAAAATTTCTTCTAAAACTAAAAAAGAATTCACCTTAATCAAAACAGATCCACAAGTAAGAGCCCAAAATTTCAAATTCCTCATTCTTATAATATTGAATTCAGATATCACGAATAATCTTCTGTGTTTTATAATACGAAACAAAATAGTTCTTAGAACTGTAAGTTTCCACAAACAAAATAGTTCTTAGAACTGTAAGTTTCCACAAACAAAATAGTTCTTAGAACTGTAAGTTTCCACTGTAAGTTTCCACAAACAAAATAGTTCTTAGAACTGTAAGTTTCCACAAACAAAATAGTTCTTAGAACTGTAAGTTTCCACAAACAAAATAGTTCTTAGAACTGTAAGTTTCCACTGTAAGTTTCCACAAACAAAATAGTTCTTAGAACTGTAAGTTTCCACAAACAAAATAGTTCTTAGAACTGTAAGTTTCCACAAACAAAATAGTTCTTAGAACTGTAAGTTTCCACAAACAAAATAGTTCTTAGAACTGTAAGTTTCCACAAATAAAATAGTTCTTAGAACTGTAAGTTTCCACAAATAAAAAGTGTATTTGCAAAGTACCTATACCAAGTCAGGAAAATGATTGTCAATAACCAACGGTTCTGATGTTCATTGTTTGGAGAGACTTTAACCAGTATATATTGATTTGTTTAATGAACCTTAAAGTTTCCCATTTCTCATTTCCATAGTTCTTCCCTGTTTATAATAGTCATGTATAAAATGTTTTATGAGGTCTGTGGTAAACTGTGACTGTGATATCTTACAAAATTCATCAGCTTGCTCCAGTTCTTAGAAGTAAAAAAGGTATATTCTAGCATTTTTCTTGTAACACAGATATCGTACCAGAATTGTAAGCTTCCTCTAGTTTTATACTGTCCACCAGTGAAAATGTATACCAACATTCCTTTAGTTCCACTCTCTTACTGTAACACCAATGTGGAGTAACTGGTTGATAAATACCCTGGTCCCCTGTATTATATGGAGCAGGCTGTGATGAACTGTAATACCCAGACGGTTGTTGACCATTGAACCCAGGTTGTTGTTGACCATTAAAGCCCCCTTGAAATTCCACATTGTACCCTGATGATGTAGACATTGTTGGTGCTACTTGAGCCACTGGTGGTGTGAATGGTGATGGGGGTAGGGGATTTGATGTTGGCCCTGGGAATCTCTGTGCTCCTGGTGGTTGTTGAAACATGTTGGGGACAGGAGTTAATGTTTCTGGTGGCATTGCATATTTCATTTTGCCAGCATCCTGTCGCCTAAAAGCATTCTTTGGTGTAGAACCTGTAATGAAAACAAATTATTTATTTTATGGTTAAATGTAAATATTTTATTGTTAACGCATTTAAACACTTTATCTGTCAGAAGATGGATTTTTATTTCATTTTGAATAACTTAAAACAGTTAGAATTACAATTGTATTCAAGATGACAGTGATTGGAAAATTTAAGATAATTGTTAACATTTCATGACAATTCCATTTGAATGGTATTTTAACATTCATTTATTTTGGTACAATGCTGATAAGAAAACATAAAATATTAACTATGCATTGCCTAAGGAAGAAAAAGCAGTGTAAACTTTTGGAAATAATAAATACATTTGCAATATAAAAAGGGAATCTGTCTATACATATAATGTAAAATGTCTTAATGATGTGATAAGAATAATAGAAAACAAGAGAAAATCACAGGAAACAACATATCTAAGTTTGAAAAGATTTTGTCAAAGAGTTTTCAAGTTATTGCACGGACAACTCTCTAAGTATCACTATTCACTATTTAAAGGTCTACAACTCAACAAATAAAATAAAAGCTAAAATCGTGAAAATCAAACTTGACTTTCATTCAGTCGCAGGGAACAAGATATCTAAATTTGAAAAGATTTCCTCAAAGCGTTTTCAAGTAATTGCACAGACACTGTTTGGCAGCTGCCCGCCTGACAGCCCACCCGTCTGCCAGGCCACCAGCCATACATCACCAAATTAATAACCGATATTTTCCTTTGGAAATCCAGTTAAAAACAATATATCAGCAGCCCCCATGAGAACACAATGTTTTCATGGCTTCATGTACATTATTTCAATATTTTTTTCTTTACTTTTTGCTGTTTGAGGTCAATTGTTGTGATGGCTTCCAATGGCTCCCTGTGCTTGCCACTGTACATGTATATAGTAAGTTATTGTTTATGTATAATTTACAAGTGTTGAGGAATGTCAGCTTAACTTGATTTTAATTTTAATAGTCTTGGTCAAAATCTGTTAAATAGCATAATTCATTTAAAAGAATGCATGTTTGCATAAGTACAGAAAGGAAAATTTCAACTTCTTTTTGGGCTATATCTTCTAAAACTAGTACACAGTTCCACATAATCATGTTGTAGCTCTTCAAAGAAAATTTTAAAAAAATCAATATATAAATCACCTGCAGAAGGTGGCCCACCATGTCTTGGTATCTGTCCAGGTGTTCCAAACCCAGATATCTGGCCAGGTGTTCCCATACCAGGTAACTGGCCAGGTGTTCCCATACCAGGAAATTGACCAGGTGTTCCCATTTGTCCTCCTGGTCCTGGACTAGATCTCTGGGGAGGAGTCTGAGTGTTGAACCTTTGTGGTATTGAACTGGGTATTTGTTTTGTAGGAAAAGGGTTGTGTCCTACATTGGCAAAGGGGTCTGAACCACCAACATTCTGGAATGGATTATTACTAGGCTCTGGTACTTGTCCAACAAAACTGTCTGCTTCTCCTTCTTCTTCTGTAATAAATCAAATTGAGGCATGTAAATAAGGTAACAAAATACATAAAAATATTTCTTGATAAAAAAAATAGCAGTTACTGGAGACGAATAATTAATTAGGTTAGCAATATTAAAATCTGTAAGTATTCTTTATTTAATGGTTTAACTAAATCATAATGTAAAAATCAAAAACAGATTTAGCATTTAGTGCAAATTTTCAAATACCTACATTGTAACAATACACCAACAACACAGACAAAGAATCAGAAAAAATATTCCTCTCACATAGAAAATACAACTGAACATAAAAACCCCAAAAATTAAGACACCTTCACAATATAAAATGTACATTGACAAGAAAAGTGATTTTGATGAATTGAATGTAAATTAAAGTTGTGGAGATACATTCAGGAAAAGAGCTGAGGTTAGAAGCATAATGATTGTTCACCAAAAACCTGCAAGCCAGGAGTGTAATGGTGAAAATATAGTGTAAATATCAGGACATTATAGCAATGTTAAATAAGCAAAGACATTCAAGAACCTTGGTCATCTGTGTTTGACTCATCTTGTGAAGTTGTTCCTAAAATAGTAAATAAAAAGGGGGAAAATGTAATTTAACATTTGAGCAATTATAAACATTAAGATAATTAAAAAAAAAACAAATAGTTTGGAACATGTTATGATGTATTTCAAAAACATCAGACAGCTGAATATTGATTGATTGATAAGTATTTAAGGCTGTGTCATCACACATTGGCTTTGTATCATGACAAACTGAATATTGAACAATGATATAATTTAAAAATCATCAAGAGACATTTCTTCTGGACCAGTATTAATCATCAGAGAAAAACATGCATGAGGATGCCCTTGGGAGTATACAAATCAAATATGACTGTTAAAAGTCCCATAACTCTGGAATGACAAACCAGAAAATTTTCAAAATCAAAAGCGAGTCTACATTCTCCAATACCAACAACAGTGTTAAGTTTGTAGTAATTTGATCAAAACATGGGAAAATTCTAATAAATTTGACAATTAAAGTCCCTTAACTGGAACAAAAACCAGAAAATTTTATAATTTGTCATTTTGGTCAGTACATACAACAGTTAGAGTGCGGACAAAAAGAAGTTTCAAGTTTTAAAGAGGCATAACTCAAGAACAGTAAAAGTGATAAGTGCACAAATGAGCAAATTTGGCAATATTCCAAATTCGAGTGTTAAAGTTAGAGTGCAGAAACTGCAAATTTGAACTTAATTTGTGTTTGGTATTGTTATATAATTGTGTATGAGTTTCATAACATTTTGTTGAGGCAAAGTAAAGTTATAATACAGAATGTGGAAACTGCAAATTCACCATTTTTTTTATTTATAAAGGGACATAACTCCAGAACAGTGAATTGACACCAAGCAATTCGAAATTGATCTGTGTTTGGTGATAATAAGCATTGTGTTCATGACATATTGTTGGGGCAAAATAAAGCTTGAGAAATGAGAATAGAAACCAATTTCAAACGAACGGCAGGGAGATGTACAGACCTACATGTACATCATGGGTAAAAATTCATGCCTCTTTCCCCTAGCCGCACAGGTAGAAATATGTATTTTCAAAATTATTCTTGAAACAATATCTCTTAAAAAAAAATGCCAGAGTTTCTAAAAATTTTTAGAAGGCTTTTTCGCGAAGTTATTGATCATGTCTAAAAGACTTCAACCCCACAATAACAAATATTGATTTCTGTAATAATTTACTTTTGCCTTGTCAAAAATACATGTAGGGTTCTAAACCATTTAAGTATAATGACATATGACATATCGAGACTTAATTGATTTCTATTGAAATAAAATGCTCTGCTGGGCGCAGCTTGATACGACAGCAGAGGTCGAACCCTGAACAGTTGGGGCAAGTATGGACACAACATTCAAGCTTGATACAGCACTGAATTTGGATTGTGATTAAATATTTGACACAGCATAGGTTTCTGACACAGAATGAATGTGGTCTAAGAACTTAAAATTTTTTAATTTACCTATTCAAACCATATCATTATTATTTGCTTTTATATATAAATCAGAAATAACCAACTTAAAATGGAAAATTTTAAAGAAATAAAAAAAGGAAAAAAAATCCCCCCCCCCAAATTTTTTGAAGCCCCTTATGATTCATCACCCCCACACTCAATCCCAGCCTTCCCTTTGTGTTATGGTACCTTGCAGTACAATTTCAGAGAGATCCATACACTTGAACACTAGTTATTGTCTGGAAACTAGAAAATGCTTGTTTTTTGGCCCCAAATTCCTAAACATTTAGGGCAATTACCCCCAAACTCAAACCCAGCTTTCCATTTGTGATATGGAACCTTGTAGTACAATTTCATAAAGATCCATACACTTACACACAAGTTATTGTCCTGAAACTAGAAAAATGTTTGTGTTTTGCCCCTTTTTGGCCCCTAATTCCTAAAATTTTATGGAAATTACCCCCAAACTCAATTCCAGCTTTCCCTTTGTGATATGGAACCTTGTAGTACAATTTCAGAAAGATCCATACACTTACACACAAGTTATTGTCATGAAACTAGAAAATTGCTTGTTTTTTGCCCCTTTTTTGCCCCTTATTCCTAAAATTTTGAGGCTATTATCCCCAAAATCAATCCCAGCATTCCCTTTGTGATATGGAACCTTGTGGTACAATGTCAGAGAGATCCATACACTAACACACAAGTTATTGTTTGGAAGTTACAAAAATGCTTATTTTTGGCCTCTAATTCCTTAACTGTTGGTACCATAACCCCCAAAATCAATCCCAACCTTCCTTTTGTGGTATTGAACCTTATGGTAAAATTTTATAGAGATCCATTCACTTAAACTAAAGTTATTGTGCAAAAACCAATGTGTCTTCGGACGACGACGACAACATCATACCAATATACGAATGAAAATGAATCTGATGAGCCTTAATAATTACATATTATTTAAACAGAAATGTTCACAGCAATATAATAATTTTTAATCAAAATTGTGAGAATGGAATTTTTAGAAAATGCAATTCAAAGTAAGAAAATGCATATTTTGACTGACCGTTAGTCTCAGATGCATGATTTTTTTTTTTATTTGTTGTTATTGGCTTTGAACTAGCTCTCAGTAACTGAGTGAGAGTACTCTCAGATCTGTGCTAGGTGTCTTTTTGTCGTTGGGATGTACAAGTAACCGTCCACGTCCACTTTGTGTTTTTGTTGGATGTCTTTCTATTTGTATCCATCTGATGAGTAAAGCCTTTTTCAACTGATTTTTATAGTTTGTTCTTATGTTGTACTGTTACACCACTGTCCCAGGTTAGGAGGAGGGTTGGCACCTTTAAACTAGTTTAACCCTGCCACATTCTGTATGTGCCTGTCCCAAGTCAGGAGCCTGTAATTCAGTGGTTGTCGATTGTTGCTGTGTTTCATATTTGTTTTTCGTTCATTATTTTGTACATAAATAAGGCCATTAGTTTTCTCGTTTGAACTGTTTTACATTTGTCATTTCGGGGCCTTTATAGCTGACTATGCGGTATGGGCTTTGCTCATTGTTGAAGGCCGTACAGTGACCTATAGTTGTTAATTTCTGTGTCATTGTGGAGAGTTGTCTCATTGGCAATCATACCACATCTTCTTTTTATATATATTTTGACCTCTTTTAACATTCAATCTATACATTTGTAGATCTAGACCTTATTCACAAATTATTTATTAATAGCTTTTCTTGAATATATTAGAGGCAGCTTTATCAACAAGTTCTAAATGCATACAAAAAATGTCCTAAAATATGAAACATTGCTCTATTACCGGTCCAACAATTTACAGAAAAGAGCGACGATTTACAATAAAGAACCGAAAAGGAACCGAAAAAGAGCATATATATATATTTATTTTATAAACAATGTATATAAACACGAAAGTTTGATTTTGTTAACAATTCCTCATAATAAATGAACGCATAATTCAAACTTTATAGATTGTACATTTAAAGGGATATGTGGACACAAAAAAAGAGACAATATAATTTGGTTTTTAGTAATATTTTTTTAATATATATATATATGATAAATTATCATTAATTTTCTATCAAGGATTTCAATCTTATCATTTAAATATTTGTTTATAAGCATATTATATTTTTTAAATAGTAATACAGGGCCTAATCTAGGATTTTTGAGAGGGAGAAGTGACTTCTCCTTCCATGAGAGAGTTGGGAGAAGTGATCAATTTCATGGAGAAGTGAAATTCCATTACCGTTTCGTTTGCATAGTGTTTTCGTGTACATCATTAATGGAAAATTGTTTTATTTATGCAATAATAAATATGCTTGCAGTGTTTTATATGATATTGTATAAAATGTATGAATTTAAAATTCTTAATAAAAAGGATTAGACAATGTAGTTATTTATTCATTCAACCTTTTGTGCTGTCAACTTGAAATTTAAAAGTTTGTTGCTTGCCTAGTAATATTATCATGCATTAATCCCATGTGTATCTGCCTTAATAAGTCCAGATAAATATGGCTCCTAGTGATGACTTTTTAATGACTGGGCAATTTAATGTTTATCATCACATGTGTGACAGGATTGCTTCCCTTAGAAATTTAGTAGATACTTAGTCAGCCGTAAGCGGTTGAGCTAAGGAAGTACTTCTTTAGCTCAGTCGGTTAACGCGCTGCCTTGTAACACAGAGGTCCCAGGTTTGAGTTCCGGTGGAGACATGCGATTTTGCAAGTAGAATCATGCTCTCCGGTTACACATGTCATAATTTTTAAAAATTATTGACTGTCCAGGACATCATGTCAGCTGTAAGTTGAGAATCTCGTGAAAGATTACAAGCCTATATATAAATGAAAATATTTAGCAATCACATTTTAATAAGTCGATAAAGAAATAAAAAAAAAAAGGAAATTTTTATCATTTTGTTATAAAAGATATCTCCCCAATTTATGAGCCCTAATTAACAAATTGGTCACAAGCTGGCCATTTGTTGTACGTTAGCAGTCAATTTATCCATTAATGCACACGGAGATTAAAATTGGAGCGGCCAAAATCTACCAGATTGGGAAAGGGAAGAGAATGCTGTCGATATGTATGAAATTTGATTAAATCTACAAATTGGAGAGGCCAAAATCTACCAGATTGGGAAAGGGAAGAGAATGCTGTCGATATTGTTAAATATTCAAATAAATACAACACATAAATAATATATGAGCTTTTTTTTCAAAATTTATTTGAATAGTCCCTACCTGTAGAAAATAAGATAGGCATACGACCCTACCTGTAATTTTTCACATGTAAGTTAATTAAGTCCTGTCACAGTATAAGGTTTCAAAACCTAAGAAACTTTTGTGGAAAATATCTTTTCATTTATAGACTTAAATGATTTTCAATTTGCTGGTCCCCTTCGATTACAAAAAAAAATCAATTTCCTTTTCGGTTCTTTTCTGTAAGTCGTCGGACCCCTCTATTACAGATACTTCGCCATAATATTTATTTCATCAACATGATGGAAATAACATATTTTGTTTAAACGTAGAATTTAGTGCAGCTCCATTGCCATTGGTACTAATGAAGTGGAATCCTAATGCTAGTAGACAATAAGCAAATGCGGAGTTATAGTATGGTATCTATATGTCCATATGGTTTACTGGGTAGTCTAATTTGATATACATTTTATGATTTACATTCGTAAACTTCAATTTATTCTGAAAATTATAATACAATATTCATAAAATAAAAAAATATCCTATCAGGTTTTTTTTTTATAAACAAATACAACGTAATGTTACAATCCCTATTGTGCATGATACAGTCAAATTATACACTTCACTTTAACTAAAATTTAAAGACATCACAAAGATAAATAAATCAGAACCTGAATCTAGAAGTGAAGGTTCACTTTGAACGACGGGCATCAGAAGATTCTGATTATCAGGAGGATTAAGGGTTAAACCCCCTCCAGCAGGCATTAGTAGAAGTGGTGGAGGTGTAGAGTCTTTATTTCCTCTATCTGCCATAAGTGTTTCTGCTGTCAAGAATCGGCACACGTCATTGACAAATCTTCAGTAAAGGAGATAATAAAAGTGTAAATTTGATCTTAATCACAAAGTCTCTTGAAATAACATCAAGGTAGACCTTAATCGAAGGCATCAGAAAGACTTAGATTTGTTTACAGACGAAACGGTGAAAGTGAAAATGCCTTGCTACATATCGCATTTGTTTGATTTCTCCCAGTACCTTTAAGAGATTCCGACTGGCAGCAAAACCAAAGACTAAAAATGAATAGTACTTCGAATCAGCAGACACCTCGTAATGACGGTTTCCACTCATATATTTTTGCTTGTATTTTTAAGACCTCCCGGTTTGTCTTAGGATGTTGAATATGGTCATTTCTCCCGTTCGGCAGTAAAACACATGCTGAAGAAGGGCGTCCGTATTGAAATGACGGATGTGTAAATGCATTAAAGTAATTTCGAACCTGAAATATTTCATACCATATCTATTTTGTACCATGATTATTTCATACCATATAGAAAATCTCTATGAATACCATTGAATACATGTACCATATGGGCCATGCACTTATATGTACTCCCTAGTTTGATAATTTCGTTTCTATGATAAGTCTGTTAATTTCTTTAGCATAACTTTAAATGAACGGAATTACAGAATGAAAGAAATTTATGGCCAGCATTATATGAAATTAGAAACTCAGCCTAGACCCAATAAATAAAGCAAATATTCTAAATGATCAATTTCAATCAGTCTTCTCTGCTGCATGTCCAATCATTAAACGAGATTTTGAAAAGAAAAAACTCATGTCAGATCTACCAGAAAATTATCCAGACAGCGAACAAATAATCATCACAAATAATGGAGTGGAAAAACAGCTGAAAAATCTAAAACCACACAAGGGTACTGGACCAGACAGCACCAAGCCAATGATTCTGAAAGAACTAGCCAGTGAAATTGCTCCAATCTTAACCATCATAGTGATATACAATTTTTCAATGGAGAAAGGAAAGATACCCGATGACTGGCGAACTGCAAATGTCACCCAGGCATATAAGAAAGGCCAGAAATACATAGCAGCTAACTATAGGCCAATATTCCTAACATGTATTTGCTGCAAAATAATAGAACATATAGTCACCAGTAACATCATGAAACATGCAGAGGTAAATAACATACTATATATATATACCCACTACAACACGGCTTCAGAAGTAAAAGATCATGCGAAACACAACTCCTTGAATGTATCGATGACATCACAAAAAACCTGGAAAACGGAAAACAATCAGATCTGCTAATACTTGACTTTTCAAAAGCTTTTGATAAGGTGTCCCACAGCTTACTCCTCCATAAATTACACCATTATGGCATCCGAAGTAAAACAAACAAATGGATAAAGGAATTTCTAACCAATAGAACCCAGGTAGTAGTTGTTGAAGGCGAAACATCTGACAAAGTAAAAGTAGAATCCAGAGTACCGCAAGGATCAGTATTAGGACCCAGTCTTTTTCTGTTTTACATCAACGACCTACCAGAAGGCTTACACTCCACAGTGAGACTGTTTGCGGACGATACTGTGGTCTACTTGACAATTTCATCAGACAGCGACTGCCATACACTCCAAGAAGACCTGGACAAACTGGCAAAATGGGAAGAACTCTGGAAAATGGAGTTCCATCCTGAAAAATGCAGTGTCCTCACAGTTACAAAAAAGAAAAAGCTAATCAAGTGGGACTATAAACTCCACGGCCATACTCTGGTGCATGAAACATCAACTAAATACCTAGGCTGCACCATCGCAAATGATCTAGATTGGGGAGAACATATAAACAACATCACAGGAAAAGCCAGCGAAGCCTTGGTTTCCTACATCGAAACCTCCACATTAGCTCAAAATCCATCAAAGAGCATGCCTATAAAATATTAGTAAGACCGCAAATGGAATACGCCACGACAGTATGGGACCCGTACCAGCAAAACCACATAGATGAAATTGAAAAGGTACAAAGAAGAGCTGCACGATATGTAACCAGCAGAAATAGAAATAGATCAAGTGTCAGCAACATGATAAATGAATTAGGATGGAAAAGCTTACAAACAAGACGAAAAGAAGCACGACTCATCATGTGTTACAAAATAACAAACAACCTTGTAGCCATAGACAAGAATTAATATCTACAAAAACCAACAAGAAGCTCAAACCGGACAGGACAACATACTTACCTATTACAGCCAGCCACCAAAGGCTGTAGGAAATAGTCCTTCTTCATAAACACCGTCAAGGATTGGAACAAAACTGCCACCAGATACCGCCACAGCAAAGTCTCTTGAGATATTCAAGTCTCAAGTGACCAAAACCACAAACTAAATAGACAGAGCAATTTGTTTTTATCCTGTTTTTAATCATGCGCAACTTGCCAGAATATTCATCATGTTGAATGTGGGCAGTATTTGGAAGAAGAAGAAGAAGATATGCCTTTTTTAACCATATCTTCCTCTTTAGATATCCAGTTATCCATCAGATTTTTGATGATTACAAACTACTGTGCATGAGAAGAATAAAAACAAATCAATATTTACAAATAATGCGAAAAATAAATACTAAACATGAAAATGTGGTTTAAAAACTATTTACATAACTACTAGAAATTACTGTTCAATTTTGTAGAGAACAGTGGGTATTAGCTGTTCTCTAAAAATACTGAGTGGAGTTACATTCAAGGGATGCAATTACATCCTTCACAACCATATTCTCGAATCAGTTACATCTGCAAAATATCTTGGCATTACCCTACAATCTAATATAAATTGAAACACACATATAGACAACATAGTATCAAATGGGAATAAATCAATTGGTTTTCTAAAACGAAATTTAAAAGTTGCAAACACCAAAATCTAGAGCATATCAGTCACTAGTATGACCCAAACTAAAATATAGTATTGTCTGGGACCCACATATGAAAGACCAACAGCTAAAGCTTGAAAAGGGACACATATGAGCTGCTCGCTACATACACATCAACTACAATTACACAAGCAGTTTCACAAAAATGTTAAACAAGTTAAAATGACCACCACTAGCTGAAAAATGTTTAAAAATTAGACTTATTTTATTTTATAAAGTGATACACTGTCTTGTAGCCATTCCAACGAATGTTCTTGAGCAAACCGCCAATAGAACAAAACAAAACCATACACAGACATACAAACATATCCAAACTTCCAAAGACACATAAAAATTGTCATACTTCCCTCGAACAATCATACAATGGAACTTGCTCCCTCAGACTATCATTGAAACCACTTCTGTTAACAGCTTCAAAGATCAGCTAACTACAGCTGTTCTTTCCAGCTTCAAATGTAAACACTCAAACCAAAACATGTACATAACAGTTATTATTTGTAATCACAATCTGTATATACAAACACTTAAATTGTTATTAAATTATTAGGAATTTGTATAAATTTTCGTCAATCAAGCATGCACAACAACATGTATTCTTCATAATTGAAGCCTTAATTGTTGACCCTAAGAAGAAGACATGGATAGTGCAAAAAAAAAAATATTTAAGTTTCAGGTTTTCTATAGATACAAATGTATTAAAGATCAATGTTCTATGGATTTAATTAAATTGTGAACATCATGATTTCTGTCTCTCCATGATATAGTCTAATTGGAACATTAAACTGTTAGTAAGTCCATAATATTTGGTATGTAGTTGTATAAGCATAAGAACATCTCATTTCCACGGAGATTATTTGGCCCAGCCCCATAAGTCATAGTTTATTGACCTTTGAAACTTTTGCATAGTTTACATGTTTAAGTTGTGATTAGTTTTTAGTTTAGTTATTAATAAAGTTTAAGGGGAAACACTAATGATACTTCAATGATAAGTTGTTTAAGCATAATCACATCTCATTTCCAAGGAGATTATATGTCCCCACTGCTTTAGTCAGGGTTCAGTGACTTGGAAAATTTTCCATAATGTACATGTTATGATTAGGCTAGTAACAGGTGAACCACTTATAATGAGACAATGATATTTGGTATGCAGTAGTTATAGCATTATTTGGCCCTGTACACTCAGTCATAGTTCACTGATTTTGATAAGAATAAATATAAGAATAAGAATATTTATTATTCCAATCAAGGGCCCTTGATGGGCAGCATAACATGTACACATAAAACAATACATCATGATTTGTAACAGAAAAACATTTTTATATATTAAAATGAAACATTAAAAAGTTCAGACAGATGTTATTATCTTCATTCTATAAAAAATCACATACATTTAATTCCAGGCAGGATCAGAACTATAAAATCATTACAATTATCATTGTTATTACATACATTAATTAACATTTCGTCTAACATCTAGACATGTAATAATATAGCTCCCTAAATATTTAAGTATAGACAAATTTTCATTAGTAAATAACCAAACAAATTTTGCCTCATTTGAAAGATATATAAAATTGGGACAGATACAGTTTATCTCCTTGAAAAATATCTCCCTATCATTATTGTATGCTGGACAACTAGTAATAAAATGTTGTTCATCTTCAACCAGATTTAGAGTACATTTCTTACAAAGCCTTTGGTCTCTTTCTATATATAAAGTTTTATACCTGTCTCTTTCTATTTTGAGATCATGTGCACTGATTCTGATTTTACATATGGCACTTCTCAATTGAAAAGTGGATTGATATCTTGCATAGTTTACATGTTAAAGCTTTCTTCAACATTTGTTTATACCATAAAAATAACATAAAGGTGAGACATATCTCTGTGATAACAGTTTTTGTCGAGCCTGCGACTTTTGTCGCAGAAAGCTCGACATAGGGATAGTGATCCGGCGGCGGCGGCTACGGCGGCGGCGGCGTTAGCTAACTTCTTAAAAGCTTTATATTTTAGAAGGTGGAAGGTCTGGATGCTTCATACTTTGTATATGGATGCCTCATGTTACGAAGTTTCTGTCAGTCACATGTCCAATGTCCTTGACCTCATTTTCATGGTTCAGTGACTACTTGAAAAAAAAGTTAAGATTTTTTGTAATGTTAGATTCTCTCTTATTATAAGTAAAAGGATAACTATATTTGGTATGTGCGTACCTTGCAAGGTCCTCATGCCCGTCAGACAGTTTTCACTTGACCTCAACCTCATTTCATGGATCAGTGAACAAGGTTAAGTTTTGGTGGTCAAGTCCATATCTCAGATACTATAAGCAATAGGTCTAGTATATTCGGTGTATGGAAGGACTGTAAGGTGTACATGTCCAACTGGCAGGTGTCATCTGACCTTGACCTCATTTTCATGGTTCAGTGGTTATAGTTAAGTTTTTGTGTTTTAGTCTGTTTTTCTTATACTGTATGCCATAGGTCTACTATATTTGGTGTATGGAATGATTGTAAGGTGTACATGTCTAGCGGGCAGGTGTCATCTGACCTTGACCTCATTTTCATGGTTCAGTGGTCAAAGTTAAGTTTTTGAGTTTTGGTCTTTTTTTCTAATACTATATGCAATAGTTCAACTATATTTGGTTTGTGCATACCTTGCAAGGTCCTCATGCCCGTCACACAGTTTTCACTTGACCTCGACCTCATTTCATGGATCAATGAACAAGGTTAAGTTTTGGTGGTCAAGTCCATATCTCAGATACTATAAGCAATAGGTCTAGTATATTCGGTGTATGGAAGGACTGTAAGGTGTACATGTCCAACTGGCAGGTGTCATCTGACCTTGACCTCATTTTCATGGTTCAGTGGTTATAGTTAAGTTTTTGTGTTTTGGTCTGTTTTTCTTATACTGTATGCCATAGGTCTACTATATTTGGTGTATGGAATGATTGTAAGGTGTACATGTCTAGCGGGCAGGTGTCATCTGACCTTGACCTCATTTTCATGGTTCAGTGGTCAAAGTTAAGTTTTTGAGTTTTGGTCTTTTTTTCTAATACTATATGCAATAGTTCAACTATATTTGGTATGTGCGTACCTTGCAAGGTCCTCATGCCCGTCACACAGTTTTCACTTGACCTCGACCTCATTTCATGGATCAATGAACAAGGTTAAGTTTTGGTGGTCAAGTCCATATCTCAGATACTATAAGCAATAGGTCTAGTATATTCGGTGTATGGAAGGACTGTAAGGTGTACATGTCCAACTGGCAGGTGTCATCTGACCTTGACCTCATTTTCATGGTTCAGTGGTTATAGTTAAGTTTTTGTGTTTTGGTCTGTTTTTCTTATACTGTATGCCATAGGTCTACTATATTTGGTGTATGGAATGATTGTAAGCTGTACATGTCTAGCGGGCAGGTGTCATCTGACCTTGACCTCATTTTCATGGTTCAGTGGTCAAAGTTAAGTTTTTGAGTTTTGGTCTTTTTTTCTAATACTATATGCAATAGGTCATCTATATTTGGTGTATGGAAATATTTTATGATGTACCTGTCAGTCTTGCAGGTTTTATTTGACCTTGACCTCATTTTCACGGTTCATTGCTCAGTGTTAAGTTTTTGTGTTTTGGTCTGTTTTTCTTATACTATAAGCAATAGGTCAACTATATTTGTTGTATGGAAGGATTGCAAGCTGTAGTACATGTCTGCCTGGCATTGTTCATCTGACCTTGACCTCATTTTCTTGGTTCATTGGTCAATGTTTAGTTTTCTTGGTTAAGTCTGTATCTTAGAAACTATAAACAATAGGTCAACTATATTTAGTGTATTGAATGATTGTAAGGTGTACATGTATTTCTTGTTTGGTTTATATGACCTTGACCTCATTTTCTTGGATCATGTTAAGTGTATGTGATAGTTGTAGTAAAGCTTTATATTTAGGACTATCAACATAATATCAATGATTAGTAAAGAAGGCGAGACATTTCAGCGTGTGCACTCTTGTTATTCATATGTGTAACAATTTTTAGTTATCTTTGGTAGATAGACTTTACATTAATTGCCACTTGGGGGCCTCAGTGGCCAAGTGGTCTAAGTAGTTACTACTGTAATCACTAGCCAGTCAACACTGAGGTTGTGAGTTCGAACCCCGCTCGTGTTGGTGCACTCGACTCCAATCTTAATTGACTCGGATTGTCAGTTTTCCTATCGAAGGTCGTGGTTTTCTTCTGGAACTCCGCCTTCCTCCACTAGTAAAATCTGGCCACCACGAAAAAGCCCAAAAAAGGTTTCAGAATGGAATATATTTAGAGACATTAAAACGTTGGAATATACCATGTATACTGTTTTAAGTCATTTTGTACATTGATATACATGTACATGTACTAAGTCAGTTTAAATGTGTTCAATGATTTAAAATTCAATATTCAATAAATAATCTTTGAAAAGCTATGACAACTTGTATAGAACTATCCAGTCATCTTTTTAGAAAACTGGTAAACACATGTATTTTTGTGCTCTGGTTTACAACAAAATCTTTCATGCTTGCACTGATGCTTGGAGAACATAAACCTAATTTTCTCATGATTTAAAATCAGTTTTAGTTTTTTAGTATAACATACTAAGATTTTACATTGTTTGTAAATGATACTCACAGAATATTTAATTTTAATGAATAATGTAATACTCCATGCTCTTTATTTAGGGGTGTCAGTGTTTGGATATTTTAAATCTGAGTTGACAAGAGGTTACCTGTTGGAAAGGGATCAAGAAAAATTTACAGAAAGAAGACAGAGAGTGTATACATTTATGAAAACACCAAGGGAACTTGAAAAGGTAAGTTATTTTTGGATACAGAAATATAACTAAATGAAACTTGAAAATACCAATAACTTTTGAGTTTAAAATTTTCTGACTATGGGATGTATAAGAATAAATGGTTCAATTGTCTTTTTTTTAGATACTTGTGATGATTGACCAAAAAGAAAAAACTAATATGTTTTTATATCTTCAGATGATTGTATTTCTCAATGAAATTGCTTGTTATGAGTTTGCTGTGGACATTTTTATTATGCATTTGATCTGTAATAGTATATATTTTGTGTACATGCATGAAATATACTTACAGTGTTACTTATAAGAAATAATTGCTAACATTTTACATAATTTTACATACTCATAGTAAGAATCTTGTTGATTGTTTTTAGACACATTTGAATTTATTTATGTATTATTTTTAATGATTTTATATACATATTTTGTTTCTATTTTCAGTTCTTGCTTTATGGGTATTTGCACTGCATGGATGCATTCCTATTTATTTTTACATTCCTACCTCTCAGAATAGTTGTAGCATTCCTCAAGATATTAACTCATCCATGTGGGTTACTCTCATCAAGGTAATTCATATATAGGATACTGTGGATTCATTATAATTTGTTGGATACCAATTTTCATGTATTTGGAATGTGTGAACCACTGATTTCAATGTTCAATGAAGTATAAATTTTCTATAGGCTTGTATGCCGACTTTGGCAAAACCATGATATCAAATATCCCTGAAAATACAATTTTTCCTCAATCCACGAAAATTGGTACCAACAAAATAAATGAAAACACAGCAGTTGCAGCATTTTACACTATGCATATGATAAGGTCAACTAGGCAAAGGTTGAGGTCAGTGTGATCTGTTACCATCAATTGTAAAATCTGTCATCCATTAATTACTTTTGTAAAACTACTACAGTATTTCAGTTGAAACCCAACTTTGGCAGTATCATTTTTATTCTGTCTACGATCAAAAATATGTTGGATATAAATACTGTAATCCCACTAACCAACTAATGTGGCTGCCTTGCCAATAGAAAGATCAAAGATTTTAAACACCAATGTTTATCATTTCCTATACAGATACATAGCCTGTGTGAAGCATATGTTGGTGAATTGCTGTAATGGTAGTTGGGTGGTCACCTATTTACAAATTATATCAGATGACTTGTGCTAATCAACCAAGGATATGTTAAGATAGTGATAAATGACAGTGAGACAGCAACCTTTAAATTTAATGAAAACATAAAAACAAAACATAAACTTTGTAGAAAACATAAGATATGAGTAATTGGTTCCCCATATTTTCTAAATTATGTGTTTCTTTTTCAGGACCAGACATATATTAGAGCCAGCCCAAGCTTGTGATATTCTAAAGGGTATTATTCTAGTGGTATGCTGTATTATAGTCAACTATATAGACACGTCCATGATGTACCACCTAGTTAGAGGTCAAGCTGTTATCAAACTGTATGTCTTCTATAACATGTTGGATGTAAGTATACGCCTCTGCATGCGGGATTTTCTCGCTGCATTGAAGACCCATTGGTGGCCTTGGGCCTTGGGCTGTTTTCTGCTCTTTGGTCAGGTTGTTGTCTCTTTGACACATTCCTCATTTCCATTCTCTTTTCTATATAGACACTTCTATGATGTACCACCCTATAATATAGTGTTAAATGTTAAATATATCAAAAACCTTACAGATCCCCAACCCTATATTCTGCACTGCCAACACAAGACCTACTAAGTGCACTATATAGTTTGTCACTGGTTGATGATGGGGTTTCATTCCCCATCCCCTAATATCATTAATTGTTAAATAAATTGAAGACGGTTTTGATTCCCACCCATTAACCAAATATACATATATTCTTAGCAATGACAGAGTACTAGAATGTGTTTGTTGTACCTTTTCTTTACTGGAGTGACTTATATAGATGAAGGAGAGACATTAGTTTGAGTCCACTTAAACAGTTCCACCTAGTTAGATATTAAATGTCATTAATTTGTTCAGCACATTGATGGATCAAGCATAAACTCTGTCCAAAGTCACTTTTGTTAAGTTTTCATGTCAACATTTTGTGGTCATATTAAGCTGCTTTCAATATTTTCATTAAGATAAATAAGCTTTATTTTGTTTCGTTTTTTTAAAGCTTCCTTTTATACTTTCAGATGGCAGATAGACTGTTTTCAAGTTTTGGACAAGATATTTTAGAAGCATTATTCTGGACAGCAACAGAACCAAAAGATAGAAAGAGAGAACATGTGGGGGTCATACCACATCTTATATTGGCTATTATTTATGTCAGTATCCTTTTGAGAAATTATTGATACTCAATTTAATGTCATATTACAATTATGATTTCTGTTTGCATGACACATATTTCTGTAAGTAAGATTATTGTACATAGAAAGAAAATTTATATATTCTTAGAAAAGTGAGGCACATGGACAATTTTCATTCAAATTACAATTACCGGTAAAATAAATGTGAAAAAGTACATGTGGTGAGGAAATGTTTAGATGTAAGAGTCTGATTTTTAACAAAAATCCTTTAATTTTAAGTTTAAAAGAAAGAGTTCTTTCCTACATTTCCTAGAGATGATTCCTTAACCCATTCATCAGTTATACATACATTGTTGATTTTGTTCCAGGCTACTGTATTGAATGTAGCATTTAATTCTCACAACAAAGCTTTGTTAACGATAATGATGTCAAATAATGTGAGTACTGTTTGTCTTTAATTATTAATTTTGTTCCAACTAGAAATGAATTGTTGACACAGAGATATGTCTTGCCTGTATGTAATTTTTTTTAGTATAATGCAAAGGTTAAAAATGAATTGGCAACACAAAAATATGCAAAAGTTTCTGTGGGATGATACCAAATAATCTCATGGGAATGACATATGCCAATGATAATACTACTCCATACCAAATACATATATCATTGACTTACCATTGGTGGTTCTCCTTAAAATTATCTTATCACAAACCTCTCCAATAACTCACGCTGCTAGCACTGGTCATGCATGGTTAAGTCTAGCTTCCATGGCAGCCGTGCATGCAAGACAAAAAATCATTCCTTATTCCCATGGTTTGCAAATAACCCTTTTGCATCTATTTTTGTTCTATAAGTTCATAGTTTAAATTTTCAGTATGTTAATCTATTAATGAGCTATTGAAATAAATACTTGTATTTTTTTTCCTCAATTAAAGATATTTTTTCAGTTTAAGTAGGATCATTATGGTTTGAAAGAAGATAGTTATTTTTTCAACTAATACAACTTTAAATTTTATTTTGCTTTTAGTTTGTAGAAATTAAATCTAACATGTTTAAGAAGATAGATAAAGGTTTTCTCTACCATATAGCCTGTAGTGATGTAAAGGAAAGATTTGTATATGTTATACTGCTGAGTGTAGTCTTCATTAGAAATATGACAGAGTTCTCCTGGAATCCAGGTATGTGTCACATGATCTGTAGAAAGATTTACATATGTTATACTGCTTGGTGTAGTCTTCATTAGAAATATGACAGAATTCTCCTGGAATCCGGGTATGCTTCACATGATCCGTAGAAAGATTTACATATGTTATACTGCTTGGTGTAGTCTTCTTTAGAAATATGACAGAATTCTCCTGGAATCCAGGTATGTGTCACATGATCTGGAGAAAGATTTTTATATGTATACTGCTGGGTGTAGTCTTCATTAGAAATATGACAGAATTCTCCTGGAATCGAGGTATTTGTCACATGATCTGAAGAAAAGTGTCATGTTATCTATGAATACAGTTCTGTATGTTATAGTGATTAGAGTAGTTTTCATTACAAATATGACAAAATTCTCCTGGTTAGCATCCAGTCAAATGATCTATGAAAAAGGTTTTGACTAAAAATATACCTGAGTTCTCCATGAAATTTTGGAAAAAAGTGTTACATACTTTAGAAAAGGATTTTACTGGAAGTTGCAAACATAAGACATATGACTGAATTCTTGTAGAACTCAGTTAAATGTAACATAATTAGCAGAAAGGTTTATTCCTTCTTTTATCACTAATAACATCAAAGGGAGACAATATATGACTAGACTCATTGACATCAGAATTCATTTTTGTCAACCTGCGACTTCTGTCACAGAAAACGAGACATAAGGATAGTGATCTGGCGGCAAAGGCGGCGTTAACTAACTTCTTAAAAGCTTAATATTTCAGAAGCTAGAAGACCTGGATGCTTCATAATTTGTATATAAATGCCTTATGATATTAAGTTTCCGTCTGTCATATGTCCATTGTCCTTGACCTCATTTTCATGGTTCAGTGACTACTTGAAAAAAAAATCATATTTTTAGTATTCTTAATATCTCTCCTATTATGAGTAATAGGATTACTATATTTGGTATGTGCATACCCTGCAAGGTCCTCATGTCTGTCGGGTAGTTTTCACTTGACCTCGACCTCATTTCATGAATCAGAGAACAAGGTTAAGTTTTCTTGGTCAAGTCCATATCTCAGGTACTATAAGCAATAGGTCTACTATATTTGGTGTATGGAATGATTGTAAGGTGTACATGTCCAACTGGCAGGTTTCATCTGACCTTGCCCTTATTTTCATGGTTCAGTGGTTAAAGTTAAGTTTTTGTGTATTGGTCTGTTTTTCTTTTACTGTATGCAATAGTTCAACTATATTTGGTGTATGAAAATATTTTACTATGTACATGTCAGTCTGGCAGGTTTTATTTGACCTTGACCTCATTTTTTCAGTTTATTGCTCAATGTTCAGTTTTTGTGTTTTGGTCTGTTTTTCTTAAAACTATAAGCAATAGGTCAAATATATTTGGTGTATGGAATGATTGTAAGGTGTTTATGTCTGTCTGGCAGTTATCATCTGACCATGACCTCATTTCCTGGTTCATTGGTCAATGTTAAGTTTTCATGGTAAATTTTGTTTTTTAGATACTATATGCAATAGGTCAACTATATTTAAAGCATGTAATGATTGTAAGGTGTAGATGTCTGTCTGGCAGGGTTCATCTGACCTTGACCCCATTTTCATGGTTTATTGATCAATGTTAAGTTTTCATGGTTTGGTCTCTTTCTTTTATACTATAAGCAATAAGTCAACTATATTTGGTGTATGGAATGATTTTAAGGTGTATATGTATATCTGGCTTGGTTTATCTGACCTTGACCTCATTTTCTTTGATCATGTTATTTTTATGTGATTTTTATGTGATACCTGTAGTAAAACTTTATATTTAGGACTATCAACATAGAATCAGTGGTCAGTAAAGCCGGCGAGACATTTCAATGTGTGCACTCTCGTTCTATTATTGTATAGGCCATGTGTATATAATAAATAGAATTTCAATCTTCATAGTTTGCTTTTTTATGACCGTAAAGTTTTTTACATTTTGTTTTTCAGATCATATTTGGGTGATCATTCCAGACGCAGTTTTAGTATTAGTAGCTGAGTTGTTCGTAGACTGGATTAAACATGCTTTCATAGTCAAGTTTAATGAAATACCAGCTGATGTAAGTTAACTAGATAGGAAATATTGTATGAATTAAGTTTAATGCAATACCAACTGTTGTCCTTTTTTTGTGGAGCCTCCAACATTTTGTCGCATTGATATAATTCAAGGTGTACCATTCTTTCTCTGTAAGATGAATTGTTTATATAATTTAAGGTATACCATTCCTTCTCTCTAAGATAAAGTGTTGATATAATTTAAGGTGTACCATTCCTTCTCTGTAAGATAAAGTGTTGATTTAATTTAATGTGTACCATTATTTCTCTGTAAGATGAAGTGTTGATATAATTTAAGGTGTACAATTCTCTCTGTAAGAAGGGGTGTTGATATAATTTAAGGTGTACCATTCCTTCTCTCTAAGATAAAGTGTTGATATAAATTAATGTGTACCATTCTTTCTCTGTGTTATAGTGTTGTTATAATTCAAGATGTACAATCTTTCGCTGTCAGATGTAGTGTTGATACAATTTAAGGTGTACTGTTCTTTCTCTTTAAGATGAATTGTGGATATAATTTAAGGTGTACCATTCCTTCTCTCTAAGATATAGTGTTGATATAATTTAATGTGTACCATTCTTTCTCTGTAAGATGTAATGTTGATATAATTTAAGGTACTGTATACCATTCTTTCTCTGTCAGATGTAGTGTTGATATAATTTAAGGTGTACCATTCTTTCTATGTAAGATGAATTGTTGATATAATTTAAGGTGTACCATTCCATCTCTCTAAGATAAAGTGTTAATATACTTTAATGTGTACCGTTCTTTCTCTGTAAGCTATAGTGTTGATATAATTTAATGTGCACCATTCTTTCTATGAAAGATGAATTGTTGATATAATTTAAGGTGTACCATTCCATCTCTCTAAGATAAAGTGTTAATATACTTTAATGTGTACCATTCTTTCTCTGTAAGATATAGTGTTGATATAATTTAATGTGTACCATTCTTTCTATATAAGATGAATTGTTGATATAATTTAAGGTGTACCATTCCATCTCTCTAAGATAAAGTGTTAATATTCTTTAATGTGTACCGTTCTTTCTCTGTAAGATATAGTGTTGATATAATTTAATGTGTACCATTCTTTCTATGTAAGATGAATTGTTGATATAATCTAAGGTGTGCCATTCCATCTCTCTAAGATAAAGTGTTGATATACTTTAATGTGTACCTTTCTTTCTCTGTAAGATATAGTGTTGATATAATTTAATGTGTACAATTCTTTCTCTGTAAGATGTAGTGTTGATATAATTTGAGGTGTACCATTCCTTCTCTCTAAGATAAAGTGTTGATATAATTTAAGGTGCACCATTCTTTCTCGGTAAGATGTAGTGTTGATATAATTTAATGTGTACAATTCTTTCTCTGTAAGATGTAGTGTTGATATAATTTGAGGTGTACCATTCCTTCTCTTTTAGATTAAGTGTTAATATACTTTAATGTGTACCCATTGTTTCTCTGTAAGATATAGTGTTGATATAATTTAATGTGTACAATTCTTTCTCTGTAAGACGTAGTGTTGATATAATTTAAGGTGTACAATTCTTTCTCTGTAAGATAGTGTTGATATGATTTGAGGTGTACCATTCTTTCTATGTAAGATGAATTGTTGATATAATTTAAGGTGCACCTTTCTTTCTCTGTAAGTTATAGTGCTGATATAATTCAAGGTGTACAAATCTTTCGCTGTCAGATGTAGTGCTGATATAATTTAATGTGTACCATTCCTTCTCTCTATATATAATTTAAGGTACCTTACTGTGGATTCATTTATTTACGTGGGTATCAATTTTCGTGGATAGAGAAAAAACAACGTTTCGTGGTATACGTAAATTCGTGGATCGCTGATTACAAAAAAAAAAAAAAAAAATCAGATACGCAATTCGTGGATTTCTTTTTGATTTAGGAGATCATATAACCTCCTTGGTTTGATCAATAATAAAACAAACAAAAAAGAAGGAATTCATTGAAAAAGTTTTGAATTGTCAAAATCCTCGATTAGTCATTCTAGGTTAAAGTGTTCATTGAAAACTTCTATTACAATAATGGACAGAGACAACTAATTATTTGTTTTACAATTTATAAATTCTTGTCGGAATTATATAAGGCATTCAAAACTCTATGATTGAAATCTCATTTCCCTAATCACGATAAAATAAACAGTCGATCATATAAGTTAAAGGTGTGAAAATAAATGCTCCTATCATAAACAATATTACCTACGGGCAATATCACGGTACTTAATCCTATTGATTTTTAATCACCAGTAAACCAAACTAAGACACAGTAATTAACAACTTGCAGTTATTTTCCATGAACATTTTTAATCAATTTTTAAAAGTAAATTATCACTGATATTCGATATTTTTATTATTGATTTAATCAAAATACTTGTATCTTCTTTCAATAAAAACACCTGTTATCTCACAATGTTTATCGCTAGTCAGCACTATACTAGAACTGCATAACATAACCGGAAATAAACATCCGAATCCACATTTCTCGGGATTATTCTTCGTTGAATTCTTAAATTCGTGGTTCGCTGTTACCCACGAAACCCACGAAAATAGGTATACCACAAATAAAAATGAATCCACAGTATACCATTCTTTCTCTGTAAGATATAGTGTTGATATAATTTAAGGTGTACCATTCTTTCACTAAGATAAAGTGTTGATTTAATTTTAGGTTTACCATTCCTTCTCTGTAAGACTAGCAGAAGACCTTGTGGCCAACAGACAGAACAGGGTATAAACTTTTATGTATAGTTATAATGTGAGGTTTTTTCATAGTTACCAGTTTTATATGGGATTACATTATTATATGAGGTATAAACCAACAACCTTTAACATGTAAAGAACAATCTGTATCACATATCAATAGATGTAAGAATACCTAGTGAGGGAAATGACCAGAGTGAACAGAAAATCATCTTTGTGTTTATATGATAAGTATTCAATTAATTCATGCATGTAATTTTTTGTAATTTTAGAATAATTAGCTCTTTTGAAGGTACCTTATGCCATGGTTTTATTAGGTTAATAACAGTTGAAGTATGTTTCACTTATAAATCTACTTGGAGATTTTTTCAGATTTAACCTTAAATGGAAGTTTGCCTTTACCTCTGAAATCCTCAAAACATTAACATCCTTAAGAAGTCAATAGCAATTCACAATACAAGTCTTAGTTTAAAGATTATGGGTGTTGTGTTGCCAAGGCTACTCTATTTTTACAGGCATGGAAGCTATGGTATAATTGTCAATGAAACAAGTCTCCACCAGACACCAAATGACGTAGAAGTTACAAACTATAGGTCAACATACGGCTTTCAACAATGAGCAAAACCCATACCGCATAGAAATTTATTAAAGCCCTGTAATGACAAATGTAAAACAATTCAAAAGAGAAAACTAAAGGCATGAAGGAAAAACAAATATGATATACAGCAACAAACAAATACCCTGATTACAGGCTCCTGACTTGGGATAAGCACATAACAGTTGTTGTTGCACATGTTGCCAATGCCTAACCTTCCCCCTAATCTGGGACAGTGATGTAACAGCACAATATAAGAACAAACTATAAAATTATTTGAAAAGGGATTACATCCACTTCATTTGAACTTTGGTGGATTGTTGTCTCATTGGCAATCATACCACTTCTCCTTATTTTTATATTAACTCATCAGATCAATACAATATTTAAATAGATTATTCTGACCTGTTGTGGTGATGGATCTACCCTATTTTTGTCTCGCCTTGAGGTAGTCAAAAAGCGAGACATAGGTACCGTAAATTGGGTTATTTTGGTTGTAGTTTTATTTTGGTTTATTTGGTGCCTCCAATAAAAGTGCCAAAATATAACACACGAAAATAAAGCAAACACTAAAAATTGAAATGCCAAAATTGTGTACTGGTACGACAATATCCTAATGTTAATTGTTGGGGAAAATATTTTATGTTATTATATCTTCCGTATATTTCCTACAATTCTATACAGCTAAATCTGCAAATAAATACCTGGTATAATTTGACAACACTATATAATTTTTACTTCGTTGTCCATTTTCTGAAATTGTTAAGAAAACACAACATGAATTTTTATATACACATGTCATAAATATGCCAGGCTATTGCTGATTAGACGCTGTTATTGGTAATTAGAATATCAAAACTCCTTGTAATCCTTTATCTTCAATTAATTAACATGTACTGCAAGAGGCATAAGGATTAAAATTTAAATCCTTGATCGTCAATAGATTAACATGTACTGCAATAGAGATGATTAAAATTTATTTCATATGATATTTGTAAAAAAATAAATAATCTATTTAAAAAGTGATTTTAATATTTAAGATTTTATTTCATATATTTCTTTCAGCTTTGAACCACGATATACGGAATTATTTGCAATTGCATCCGTATCTGATTCCTTCATTAAGTTAACTTTGTCGTGTTTCTAGTTTGAGAAGTTCAATTATATTTTGTCAATAAACGGGTAAATAAAGGCAAATATGAATGAGCTTGCTCACTTCTGTTGTTCCAAAATTAAACATATCAATTGGACGAAGCACCAAAATTACACACACCAAAATAAAACACATGCCTTTCGACGCCAAAATTTCCCAATTTACAGTATTCTGTTTCCGGCGTCAACAATGTATTAGTTTGTGATTAGGTCTAGTTTATGGTGAACCACTAGTGGTAGGTCAATGATAATTGGTATGCAGATGTACAAGCATTGTCATATCTCATTTCCATGGAGATTATTTGGCCCTGCCCCCTCAGTCATGGTCTATTGACTTTGAAACTTTTGCTTAGTTTTCATGTATTAGTTTGTGATTAGGTCAGTTTAAGGGGAACCGTTAGTGGTAGGTCAATGATAATTGGTATGTAGTTGTATTAGCATTTGCAAGTTTCATTTCCAGGAGATTATGTAACCCCACCCCCTCATTATGGTTCATTGACTTTGAAACTAGTTTATAAGTTAATGTTTGTGTCTAGGTTTGTTTAAAGGGAACAACTTATGAAAAGTCAATGGTATTTGGTTTGCAGTTGTATTAGCATTGACACATCTCATTTCAATGGAGATTGTTTAGCCCTGTACCTTCAGTCATGGTTCATTGACTTTGAATATTTGCATAACTTACATGTTAAAGTACGGTACGTCTAAACACCGCTCAGGACCTCCTGAGTGCACTCAGGACATACAAAGTGCACTCAGGACATGAAATAGTTGTTTTAGTGAGAAGTGAAGGTATGCATTCGATAGATAATTTAATTCTCCATCTTATAATTTTTGTTTTGATAAAATCAATTTATTATTTAAGAAGTTATTGAAGTTTTCATTGGCACGCGCCGATTTTATGAAATATGTCAGGCATGACCGGTGATTATAATGAATATCAATTATCATGTTGATTAGGTCGTTTGATCTTTAATAATTAGGAGTGATTAGTAATGGTACTAACCTCATACAAGTAAGCTTGGCAAACAAACAAAACCAAGATGTCTTTTGAAGAATAAAGAACAATGAAGATATATTGTTTTAGAAAAAATGTTAAATAAACTTGTATTATTGTTTGTAATAATTGAAGCCATTTGAGAAATATGAGAAATCTACATATAGTTGGGAAATTTTAATTCAATACATTTCATTTGAAAACGTTCAAAAATATAGATATAAAGTATTGCAAAATGTGGCGATTATTTCATGTAGTAAGATTTGGTTTTACATTGAGCTCGTTCTTGTCCAGTATTAAGATTCCTTGAGCAGTTTTAACGTAAAAGTAAATTCTGAAGAATGATTTGTTGTAAAACAGTGAAAAGAAAATGTCTAAATTTTATTTCTGAGTAATACGAATGTTTAACAAATCAGCATTTAGTAAGATTTTATTTCTCATTTAAATCGTTCTTGTCCATGCAGTAATACAAGCCTAGAACGAATTTCAATGTGTAAATAAATTCTGAAAAAAATGAATTTGTCTCCGTTTTTTCAAAATTATCATATTTGGGTATTATTTCTAAACATTTTGTAAGTAAGATTGTAGTATGATTCTAAACTAAATTAAAAAAAATGATTTTTTTATTGTAAAACAAATGAAAAAAATATTTAATTTTGTTTCTCAGTTCTTCCCATGTTTATTTTTGTCAGTTTACTGTCCTAAATAAGTGCTATCGTATATTGAACTCTCGCCATTTATCATATTTTGGTATTTTACTGTAAAAAAAATTATGAACATTTCGGTCCGTACAGAAAACATGATGTATCATTTCAATGTTGGTTTTCGAAAATAAAAGAACAGCGAGAAAGACTATTTCGGAGACTGTTGATTGACACGAAATCCGTCCAAACCACGACTAAGTCTTCGTGCACATATCTTGAAGTGACAAAACCCCAGAAACTTGCTCGTAAGCCAAACCAAAGAAAAAGACCAAGGGCAGCATGTACGCAGCCAAGATATTAGACTTACCAAATCATATAAATAAATTCATCTAAATATTTTCACTGTAAATATTGTACATAATTGCCTTCTCTATACCTATGTTTATGGTTTATTGAGAATAAAGATATACAAATTCAATAAAATTTGATATTCAGTAAACATTGTTTTTGTTTATGAAGTTGATTTGGAGAGAGAGAAAAAAAAAATCCCAAAGAAAAACAAAAATCGAACTTGTTACAGAAAAACGGCAACTATAAAATAACACGATTTTTTTATTTTCTTTATGCATGAACTGCAGACCACAACAAAATTAATTTAGCCGTCATCATGAAAAATAAACTGAAAAAGAGCATCAAAATATTACCCAAATATGATAATTTAAATACAATTAAATACAACAATGATGAAGTAGAGCAGAATATAATGGTACAACAGTGCCAGCTTTCTGAAGATCCATAGGTATCCATAGAATTTTTTTTTTTTTCTCCATAAACGTAAAAATTTACTATGCATAATTTAAATTTAACTGCATTAAACAATCCCTAAAAACTTAAAACATCGTGTTATTAATTTTAAACGTAACACTGTACTAACAACACAATTCATTAAAAACAATAAATATAATCCAATCAATTTTGTTGATTGAATAATTCACGGCTCAGTAGTTGTGTAATCAGTGACACGTGCCCTCATTATTTTATAAGAATTGACATATCTATCTAAGTTCGATTTCAAATTCTATCAAAATTTAACTCTTAAATAAGTAGCATGTAACGAATATATACAGCCATCCTGTGTGCAAATATGATGATAAGGGGTCCTGAGTGCACTTTGTATGTCCTGAGTGCACTCAGGAGGTCCTGAGCAGTGTTTAGACGTACCCGTTAAAGTATTGCTATTTTACTTTCAACATTTGCATTATCAAAATAACAAATAGGTGAGACATATCTCTGTGTTAACAGTTTATTACAGGCTTACATAAACTATTCTGATCTGTTGTTTGATCAAGCTAACCTATTTTTAACAGGCTTACATAGATTATTCTGATCTGTTGGCAAGGAGGATGGGATTTACACCACTACCATTAGCCTGCCTACTGGTCAGGATATGTACCAGATCATTTAAGATATCAGGTTCTCTTGGTATCTGTATTATAATTGCTTTATATTTATGGTGAGTAGAATGTTTACATCACTTGGTATCTGTATTATAATTGCTTAATATTTATGGTGAGTAGAATGTTTACATCACTTGGTATCTGTATTATAATTGCTTTATATTTATGGTGAGTAGAATGTTTACATCTCTTGGTATCTGTATTATAATTGCTTTATATTTATGGTGAGTAGAATGTTTACATCACTTGGTATCTGTATTATAATTGCTTAATATTTATGGTGAGTAGAATGTTTACATCACTTGGTATCTGTATTATAATTGCTTTATATTTATGGTGAGTAGAATGTTTACATCTCTTGGTATCTGTATTATAATTGCTTTATATTTATGGTGAGTAGAATGTTTACAGCTCTTGGTATCTGTATTATAATTGCTTTATATTTATGGTGAGTAGAATGTTTACATCTCTTGGTATCTGTATTATAATTGTTTTATATTTATGGTGAGTAGAATGTTTACATCTCTTGGTATCTGTATTATAATTGCTTTATATTTATGGTGAGTAGAATGTTTACATCTCTTGGTATCTGTATTATAATTGCTTTATATTTATGGTGAGTAGAATGTTTACATCTCTTGGTATCTGTATTATAATTGCTTTATATTTATGGTGAGTAGAATGTTTACAGCTCTTGGTATCTGTATTATAATTGCTTTATATTTATGGTGAGTAGAATGTTTACATCTCTTGGTATCTGTATTATAATTGTTTTATGTTTGTGGTGAATAGAATGTACTTTTTATATAAATAAACCACTTTTTCAAGAGTAGAAAGATAATTACCTTGCCAATGTAGAATTACTGGCATGGTTGTGGTTGCATTGCAAATTTATTTTAAAATGACTTCATTCTGCATGAGATCAATATTGGTTTTAACAAGATTTAATGGTTTTTACCTTATTAAGCCAGTGAAAATACAGAAACCTTAAATTCTTGGTTCTTACCCATACTGAGGAAATCAACAAATATTGGCACCCACAAAAAAATAATAAATCCTCAGTACTATGACAATACATTTTTTTGTAAGAATTCAATTATCATAGATTTCAGTAATTAAGGAATTCAAAAAAACCTGACATAACGAATACTTCACAAACTACAAAAATTGGAATTCATGAATTAAAGTTCTTCACACTGCATTTGAAGAGATAACAATGTTAATTAGATTTTATAATTTCAACCAAAGAAGAGTTATCTCCCATGCAGTATTAAAGCCAATATAGTCGCCCTGTGTTACCAGTCAAATTTCTTTAAATTAGTTAATTCTTAAACTCAGAAGTTTCTGTACTCAATTCTACACTCAAAGTCATTTTTGATAGATAAAATTGTATAAAATAATTAAAAAATTATTAAACTATTTGTGTGGGTTGGAACATTGTTTATTGAAATGAAATGTAAATAAATAATAAAAATAAATATATATAACTTTTGAATAACTGGTTTGAACTTTGATCATATATTTAAATGGCTGTGAATATGTAAAAGTCTAGAATCACAGGTTGATTTATATATAATTGATTTTAATTCTATACAGTGAAAAAGAGTTCCGTTAAGAATATATCTGATTGTCAAAATAACCCTAAACATACAACATGACACATCACCCCTTTCCCCCTCCCCCAATCTGCCACCACTCACACCAGGATAAGACAGATACAAACAGCATGACATAGCACCCCTTCCCCAACCTGCTACCACTCACCACCAGGATAAGACAGATATTTTCACCCACAAAATCTAGTGTATATATATATTTGAAGGATAGTTTACATACAATACAAGTTCTATGGTTTGTTACTGACCCCCTAATACTCAATGGACCTGTAGGGCGTCAGTATCAAACTGTATAACGAATTTATCACACACATGACTTTTCCTGCCAAGTTATGTATAAAAATAGACAATGAAATACAATAACAATAATAGATGACGTCACCATTAGTAGTAGACATGACGTCATGGATCCCATATGAAATCTACTTACCCCATACCGATCCATAGGGGGTCACTACGTACCGGTGTTTTATCTGAGGTGCAATTAGTATTCATATCATAACATGAGTTGTTAAAGATATCAAAAAACAGTTTACCATATACATGAATTTTTTTTCAAGACAATACTTTTCCGGTACTAGAAGGTGTTTGTTTGAGTGACTTCTGTACATGCTAAAGATGAAGGGGAGACATTTTTCAGGGTACTAGAACAATCAACAAAAGGTTGAAACATTAAGTTTTATTTTATTTTTCAGTTTGATGACATTTAAAGTCCTAACAAGTATAATAGTCCTAGGTAAAGCCTATGATCTCATTAAAGACAAACCGAAGGAAACAGAAACAACAAACCCTACAGAGAAACAATGTTCAACAGAATCAAGCGATGTATTTGCTGACTCTTCGCAAATTCTAACACAGTCCAGCTTTGTGGATAATATTGGACCTGATATCGAAAAACAGCCAAAAGGAAATCTTAATAATTCTTTGAAAAGTAACAGCTCTATTTCAGAAAAGTCTATGACTAGCGACTTATCCACAGAAAATGTGACTTTATCAGGTGACCATATGACATCAATACAAACAGTATTTACAGAAGAAATAAATATTTCTAAATCAGAATTATTTTCTCAAGAATCAGTAACAGACAGTTATATAAATGAGGGAGATGATACAGTAATTTTAGAAGAGAAAAAGGATAAAAATGAAGATACTGTTCATGATACTGATAAACCTGTTAAATCTTATGATAATCCTAGAGAAGATGAAGTTAGGCACAGAAAAATTACTGTAGAGAATAAAGATTTAAGTCCTGAATATTTATAAATGCAACAACAGCTTCTATTTTACTACTGTTGGAAGAAAATAATGTGCAATTAATGTTTGTCTTATCTACAATATAGGTAGTTCAAAGCTAGAGACAGGTGTTACTTTTCAGGGTCGTTGTTAAGATGTTGTATACAGCTATTATATATCAAGGGTATTAAAAAGCAGAGACAATCCATGATTATAACATACATACCTCATGATTAAACTCTGGCGAGGCAAAATGTTTATGATGTCAAGATCTACCTACAATCCATTTAGACCAAAATTGTCAGACAATTTTTTATAGGAGTTATTATCGATTTGTTTTACAGAAGGTTTGAAACTTGAACAATAAAATACTTTGAATTGAATTGAATTGAATTGAAATCACAATTTTTACTAGTTTTGGCCAATTAACTTAAAAACTATAATGGATAGACAGAAACTGTCTAGCTAAAAGAATCAAATAGACTAAAATACAATGTGACCAATGCACGATCCTTGGAGCCCTTGTTTGTTTTTAGCTTTTAGGTATTATATCATACAAATGGTTTTCAATTTTCCTTTATTTAAAGTTATTTTAGTATTTTTTTGTTTCTGCTGCAAAGCTACCACGTCAGTTCTAGTACCTGTCAATTCACCTTTTATTAAGATTTTTCAGGTGAGGCTTTTCTGTGTGTTCAATCCTGTTGTTTTTTGTGCTTTACCACCATTCCTAGCTAACATGTATTGTTATTATTATTATTGTTATATTTTTCTACTGTATACATATACCAGAAAACTTTATCTTTACAGTTTTAAATTAATATTTTATTTTATTTCCATCTTTAGCATATCTTGTCGAAAAGGCCAAGAAGAGCTAATTACTTCAACTGATAACTTTTGTCTATCTTAGGTTCTTAATGAACTTATGAAACATTGTTTTGTACAAAATAACTTTTGATAAAACTTAATTTGAATGATTGCTTTGGGTATGAAAACCAGTTTAACCATTCTTAGTCAAGTTTAACATTGGGGTGAAATAGTTTTAATAGTAAACAGTAATCAACAATATTAAAAGACAAATACAATGATCTAACACATGTATGTTAAACTGACAATTACATCAAACTTTTTATGAAAAAAATCATAATAAAACATAATTGTAAATAAAATTAAAAGAGTAAAGATTTTTCTTTGGCCATATGATCTGTGATTACCATCTAACTATTTTCATGCACATCTCATCTAAGTAGGGCCATACAAAAACAATTACTAGCTTCTTAGGCCAATTTAAAAAAAAATTTTGATGTACAAAATTTATTAAATATTATGAATAAAAGGAGATGTTGGTTGTATATCAATTAGACAGCTATCCATCGAAAAAAAATAACTAACTAAAAGAAGTCACGCGAGCAACATACAGTCTTCAAAAATAGACAGGTGTCTATACAATATGTCAAGTGGTAAATCTTCCTGAGTCTATTAAAGTTTTGAATAAATTAAACAGAACCACTCTCAAAGATCTACTATCAACACAAAATACTTGAGAAAGAACACTAAGGTAATCATGATGAAGTAAATTGGTAATATCAGTCCGGGAAAACTCTGAATTCGGCAACGTTGTCAAATTCGGCAACGTTGCGGAATTCGGCAACCTTGGTTATTTATACATATCTAACTACAGTTAACCATCAATACTTGTCATTTTTAAACAGCTGATAAGAAATTATAATAGTATATAATCAGTATCTTATACTTTATTTTTTGCAATAACAAGATTCTGCCAGAATAAGATCTACCCAAGTAAGACTTATGAAGCAAATCACATGCCTTCAAATACTAGACAACAACAGATCTGAATAAAACATTTGTAAAGAAATATTTTAATGTTAATGTAATTTACATGTTTATAAATGTTGCTTTTTGTGACACCGTCAGATTTACTGACTTAACACCATAGAGGGTGCTTTGATTTAATTATTTATGTAATGAATTGTTTTTTGTGCTTCTCTCTACTATGCAGTATGGCTTTTGAATATGTATGATTATATAAAAAAAGATTTTTGTGGAATTTACAAAATAAAAAAAAATATTATATCTATTTCTTCATATTAAAGCAACTGCTTCAGTGGTCTCATGGAAGCATGCTCACCTCAAGTGCCAGAGGTTGTTGATGCTATCCCCAGCAGGGTCGGCTTAGAATTAGAATAATGTTTGAGTTGGTTGATATGCCTTCCTGCAGCACTTTCCATATTCATCTCTGACAGCATGCGGGTTTAGCAGGTTATATCCATATCACATTTACATTCTTGTCTTCTATATTCATTTAATAATTGCCACTGAACATTAAGCAGCCACCAATCAATCAAACAATCATCTTAAAGCTTCTGTAATATTCCTTTATTAATTGTAACCAAAAGCTTTTAGAATTATAAAAACTTAATAAATTTTTATAGATAACTTTAATTTAAAACTGATTTAACTCTACAAAAATTTTATTGCCAATTTTATGTCAAACAATATATTCAAGTCAGTTAACAGTTATCAAGTCTTTTGTAGAGGCCCATAATGATAGATTTTTAGGCAAGTACTTGGCTTTAATTTCTTTTGTTTTTATTTTATTTTACATAGGCTATATAAAGGAGCATTTGATAAAAAAAAAAAAAAAATATTGACTCCAAAAATTAACTACACCAGCAATCAATAGCTAAGTCAATTCAGAAATAAAACCCATTGACAAAGATGAACATTAAAGAACAAAATATATGGGTATATACGTTACCTTTTCCATTGCAGAATCTGAAGGGTTCCTAGCAACTTTATTGTTTGTACACCTAAACGAAAATGGTGCTATGCTTTTGGGTAGATATCAATTATTGAGGATGTTTTAAACTAATTACAGAATTGAGATTGCAGTGTCAAAATAAGCTGTCAAGTTACTGATAAGCTGATGAGGTTGGCCATACCAGTTTGTTGAATACTGCTTCTTAACAAAGTATAAATGTTAACACATCTCACTTAAAGTTTTTTTAAGTCTCATCAGGGAGTTTGATTGAAATTTGTTATATTTATAGATGGTGACTAAGACACCGCCCATTTATCTTCTTTGTTTCTTTTCTCATCACTTCTTTGTTGCTTTTCTCATCACTTGGCGTCCGTCGTTGTCGTCGATGTTAACTTTTTACATTTTGAACTTCTTTTAGAGAACAACTGAATGGAATGAAACCAGACATGGCATGAATGTTCCTTATGAGGAGCTGACCAAGTGTTGTTACTTTGAAGCTGATCCATCATCCAAGATGGCCGCCAGCAGGGACTTCGCTTAACATAGGACCCTATGGACAATACATACAAATGTCTTCTTTTAGAGAACCACTGAATGGAATGAAACCAAACATGGCATGAATGTTCCTTATTAGGTGCTGACCAAGTGTTGTTACTTTGAAGCCAATCCATCATTCAAGATGGCCGCCAGAGGGGGACTTAGTTTAACATAGGGCCCTATGGACAATAGATACAAATGTCTTCTTTGAGAGAACCACTGAATGGAATGAAACCAAACATGGCATGAATGTTCCTTATGAGATGCTGACCAAGTTTTGTTACTTTGTAGCAAATCTTTCATCCAAGATGGCCGCCAGAGAGGGACTTACTTTAACATAGGACCCTATGGGAAATACATAGAAATGTCTTCTTTTAGAGAACCACTAAATGGAATGAAATAAAACATGACAATGTTCCTTATGAGGTGCCGACCAAGTGTTGTAACTTTGTAGCCGATCCATCATCCAAGATGGCCGCCAGCGGGGACTTAGTTTAACATAGGACCCTATGGGAAATACATACAAATGTTTTCTTTTAGAGAACCACTGAATGGAATGAAACCAAACATGACATGAATGTTCTTAATGAGGTGCTGGCCAAGTGTTGTAACTTTGTAACCAATCAATCAACCAAGATAGCTGCCAAAGGACTCTATTGGAAATATATACAAATGTCTTCTTCTGGAAAACCGCTTAATGGATTGAAACCAAACATGGTATGAATGTTCCTTTTGAGGTGCTGACCAAGTGTTGTTACTTTGTAGCTCATTTGTCATCCAAGATGGCTGCCAGCAGGGGGCGTAAGCTTAACATAGGACCCTATGGGAAATACATACAAATGTTTTCTTCTAGAGAACCACTGAATAGAATGAAACCAAACACGGCATGAATATTCCTAATGAGGTGCTGACCAAGTGTTGTTACTTTGTAGCCGAACCATCATCCAAGATGGCCACCAGCAGGGGACTTGGGTTAACATAAGACCCTATGGAGAATACATACAACTGCTTCTTCTAGAGGAGCACTGATTGTTCCTTATGAGGTGCTGATGAAGACCTTAATGCATGTATCTTTATAGATTGAGATCTACTGTAAACTGCAAAAATATCAAGAAAAGAAGATCTACACATAAGTCAACATGAGTCTTCTAGAGAACCACTGAATGGAATGAAACCAAACACGGCATGAATATTCCTAATGAGGTGCTGACCAAGTGTTGTTACTTTGTAGCCGAACCATCATCCAAGATGGCCACCAGTAGGGGACTTGGGTTAACATAAGACCCTATGGGGAATACATACAACTGCTTCTTCTAGAGGAGCACTGATTGTTCCTTATGAGGTGCAGATGAAGACCTTAATGCATGTATCTTTATAGATTGAGATCTACTGTAAACTGCAAAAATATCAAGAAAAGAAGATCTACACATAAGTCAACATGAGTCTTCTAGAGAACCACTGAATAGAATGAAACCAAACACGGCATGAATATTCCTAATGAGGTGCTGACCAAGTGTTGTTACTTTGTAGCCGAACCATCATCCAAGATGGCCACCAGCAGGGGACTTGGGTTAACATAAGACCCTATGGGGAATACATACAACTGCTTCTTCTAGAGGAGCACTGATTGTTCCTTATGAGGTGCTGATGAAGACCGTAATGCATGTATCTTTATAGATTGAGATCTACTGTAAACTGCAAAAATATCAAGAAAAGAAGATCTACACATAAGTCAACATGAGTCTTCTAGAGAACCACTGAATAGAATGAAACCAAACACGGCATGAATATTCCTAATGAGGTGCTGACCAAGTGTTGTTACTTTGTAGCCGAACCATCATCCAAGATGGCCACCAGCAGGGGACTTAGGTTAACATAAGACCCTATGGGAAATACATACAACTGCTTCTTCTAGAGGAGCACTGATTGTTCCTTATGAGGTGCTGATGAAGACCTTAATGCATGTATCTTTATAGATTGAGATCTACTGTAAACTGCAAAAATATCAAGAAAAGAAGATCTACACATAAGTCAACATGAGCAATATTGTCTATTGACATCTGGTTGAAGTTATTGTCCTTATAAAGTCATTTTCTACAATTTCAATGAATTTATTGGTAATTTCTGTAAACTTTTACAAAAGTCTTCTGCTTTCGATTAAATTACGGGGTCAATATTAAACCAAATTTGGCCTCAATCATTATTAGGGTATTAGGCAATCTATTTTTACATGATTTCCAAAACCAAAGTAGAATCAGGTGAGCGACACAAGCTCTTGAGAGCCTATAGTTTCTCACCTTCCAGAATGCGAGACATAGGTATAGCAATATGATGACATAAACTATTTGTAAAAGCTTTATATTTCAGAAGCTAGAAGACCTTGATGCTTCATACCTTGTATGCATAATGCCTTATGTTAGGGGACGACCATTTGATATTCTGGGGGGGGGGGGGGGGGGCAGGAGGATTTGTTTTGGATCGGTTATTTGTTTTTGTAAACTAAGAGGACAGATTATTTATTTTCTGCACTGTTGAAGCAAGATTTTTCATTTTCATTAAAACAAGGGACTGATTATTTATTTTCATAACTATATTAATAATATTTGAAAACATACAATTTTTAAATTCATTTTTTATTAAAAATATTACATGTACAGTCAAGTCATTAATGTACCATTTAATCAGAATTAATCATCATCCTCTGCGGAAATGAATCTTCTGAATTCCATACTGCATATACATGTATTGCATACATACACGGTATTTGAGTTGGGGCTGTGACTATAGCCTCTTTTAAAAGTATTGCCAAATATATTTACGCCGAGCGGAGCGAGGCAAAAGAATTTTGAAGGGTTTTTAAGCCGTTGAAGGCCCAAAGAAACTATAGAACAAATGATGCAAAATCGTGCTTTCTGGGCATTCCCAGACCCTCTCTTATTCTGAAAACGCAAGTTCTGTTTTAATAATGTTTTGACAATATTTTGGTCTCAAAGCAAAATGTCTAGATTCAGCGTAAGACTTAAGTTTTTATGGACAACATCAAAAGACCAATATGAAGAATAAAGTAAAAATGTAATTCACATAGTTAAGTATGTGGCTGCTGGTTTTTTTTTTTTTTTTTTGTTGTTGTTTCGGCATGCAGAATTTAAATCTTTTATACCTGTAAATTATATGGGGTTTTATTCAAATTAAGTTAAGAGGGGGCTGATTATCAGTGATATAACTATGTCAAGTAATTTTTAATAACACATTTCAATTACAACTTGATGTAGCTCTTAACTGGGATACAATTTAAAGTAGTTAAGTTGTAAAATTAGCTAAAAAATCTTAAATAAAATAAAACTCATGATCAAGTTGAAAACAAAATTACTAAATCACAAAAGGAATGCAACACTAAGAGAATACAGAAGGGCAATCAATGAACAAAAGACAAATTTAAAGAAACATTGATCCCGAAAAAACAGGTGCTACGTCCAAGGGAGAACAGAACTTGCTTCTTGCAAACACTCGCTGTTAAAACAATTTGATATGAAGACAAGCTTTTGGTTTTAAAATTTCCTACATAAAGGCATTTGCCTCAATGTAGTTACAACCCTGTAATAAAAGTGAGGTAAGTGTTCCTGAGCCAATATACCTCAAGTTAAATGAAACCCATTTTCAGACATTTCAAGTATATTTAAATAATATTTATACCTTTATTATTAAAAGATTTGGGAAGTGTTTCCTAACACGTCGAACAACAATAATGTTCTTAAACCCTGCTGACTGCCATTGC